GCCGGGCTTGGGAATGGACATTTGTGATTGTGTCCACATGCAGTGCCCCAGCGCAGGCGCAAGGGTTAAAAGAGAGAGCGAGCGAGAGAGTAAGCTAAAGGAGAGCGTATGCTTGCCGACACTCGACTCTCTCTCCACGCCCCAATGGGTGGGTGGGTGAGTGGGTGGTTGTTGTTTTCGTCGCAGGGTTGGTTTTCACACTCCGTTTCCCATGTGCCCCACTGTAAGACGGATGCTCTCTCCTCTCTGCCTTGCTGCTCGTAATACTACACGCTCCACGAGAACCCTCTCTCTCCTCCTCTCTTTCTCCTCTCTGAGAGTGCAAAAAGGGTGGGGGGCAGGGGGCACTTTCTTAGTTGCCGCTTATAGCTTTTTAATTACAAATAGAAATTGTTAACATTTTTGTTTGCGTTTACCGGAACTAATTGGATGAGGCGATGCCAGTGCATACCTGATCATTATGGCCACCATTTCTCTGGGTTCGAGAGCCCTTCCAGAAGGAATCCTACTCCCGATACCGATATCCGGCGAGTTTCCCCCCCTCGCTGCTAGTCCACCGCCGTGGTGTAATCCCCTGGGTCATTAAGGCGTCTACGTGTCTGCAACATCAGCAGCCACATCAGGATGCTTTCATGTTTCCCCCTGTCCCGTCCAGCAGACATTGTCGCCTGCCGATTGTCGCATGTTTTATTCAGCTACAGCGACAACGTTCTCCTCATCGCTCCGCTCTCATCAGGTTGTAAATATTGAACAACCAGAACACCAACACTAACAACAACAAACTGAATACCGAATACCAAATACCGAATACAGAGCACAGGATAAAGGACACACAGAGCACTGAATACCAGAATAATATGTTCTCGTAATGCCGGAAGCTGAAATGTCTCTCATATTTTAAGATGTTGCATTTTTGATCTGACGCGACAGTGTTTTTTATTGCCCAAGACAGCGACAGGCAGCCAGCCAGCCGACTCGAGTCAAAGACAGAGGACACCTTAATTGTTTCCCATTCTCGTTGGTAGATTGACGTGGGTTTTCCACAGGCAGAGTAGAGTGGGGGGCTAGAAAATGCTGGAAATGCAAGCGATGCCTGAGACGTGAGTGAGCCCTGGCCTGGCCTGGCCTGACATTGAGATGCGAGTAGAGAGATTGTCCCATAGAGAACTAGAGACGGCGGCAGAGTAAAGGGGTTGGGTGTTGGGTGGAGTTTAAGGAAAGTTGAGCTTAACGAAGCTAAACATTTTGGCATTTTATTGATAAGTAACTGGGTATCGTATCCGTGAGATATGAAAAAATATAAAACTTCCATGGCCCTGAGTATGATTGATAAAAAAGTTTCGCATTACAAATGCGCGATGAAAACTTTCGACGCTCGCAAACTTCAGTGGGTGGTGCTGTGGGTGGGCGGGAGAAATGTCACAAGAAAGTTACATAGTATTTATCCACAAATGTTACTCCTGGGGCCACTTGGCAGTGCTGTATAAGTCAAAGGTATTACAGGAATTTAATGCTGACTTTCAAATATTGTTCCTTCAGCTGCAATTGGTTCTGGGAATCATTGCAGGTAAAAGATGACCCAGAAGAGCAAAATATGGCCCAAATAAAGCATTAATAATTTGGTTTAAAATTAGCTTTAGCAGCTCCGTTAATCCTAACCCCAAATAAAAATTCGAATTCCATTTTGTGCATCGACTTTTGCCTTAGTTCTTCGATTTTTATTTTCGCTTGACGATTTCTTTGCGCCTGAGAGTAGTTCATTGGGACACTGCAATGTTGTTGACAACATTTCGAGGGTTGAATACGGCCATAAATACGAGAAACTATATAATACCTCGCGCTCTACCCGCAAGAAACTAAGGAAAAGAACAGACAGACAGAACAGAACCAGAGGGGGATCATCGGCCTGGGCTTGGGGTTGGAAAGTAGACGGCAAATATTCATAATAGGCCTGCCATGACGTCATGGCCACAGAAATATGATTGCAATTTATTTATTATTGGTGGACAAAACATGTACAGTAAGACATCAATCAATTTGTTACGTTTCCTCTTCGCATTGTCCCTTTATCTGTGTACGAGTATCAATATTTTGTTGGACGACAGACAACATGATAACGAAGACGTTTTAGCCCATTTGCTGGGCCAACTTCAGCCGCACAAGTGCCTGCTTTGACTCTGCTACCAGCTCTGGCTATGGCTTCTCCTTCTGCTCCTTATGTGTGCGCCAGTGGCCTCTTGATTAATGCCCTCACCTTCAGGCCAAACACCTCGAGTGCCTTATCGAGAGGGCCCCTTGGAAGCGAGGAGGCAGGTGAGCAGCACTCGTAAAACTCAAAAGCCACATCCGCACCGCCATATTAAATTCTGCAATTCAACTTCGTTTTTCGTGCAAACAACGAGAAAACAACAACAGCAGCAGCAGCAGCAACAACAACGACAAAACTGTCTATAAATACTGTTAAATGAGTGAGGAGTCCTGCCTGAGTTCTGCGTCCTGTGTCTGTGTCTGTGCATGTGTGAGTGTTTGTTGGACGTACACTGTGGACAAAATGTAAGCCTAAAATCAAACGAATAATCCACAGGTACTTAATAGTGGAAATATTAAGAAGAATGGAACAGCTGTTCCGTTCCTTAAGTACATAACATTACTTTCGCACAATTATAAAATTACTCACTAAAAATAATATTTCATTGCCCAAGCGAAACATTAAAAACCATTGGAATGGAATATTTCCCAAATTTAATCCATCACAATTATCAATGTGTAGATTTTCTTGCAGTGTAGTTGCGGTTGCTTGTGGTTCCCCCCGCTTGAAATAATTGTGGGTGTGTGCTTGTGTTTCTGTGTGTGTGTGTGTGTGTGTGTGTGTATAAACCAGGACGTACGGCTGGATGGTTCGGTTCGGTGTGGTTCCATGTTGCTTCCTAGTTGTTTTTGGTTGAAAATCGATATGTACACACAAAAAATCCATAAAAACGAAAGAGTAGCCAGCCAGCCAGCCAGCCAACAAAGGGAACAGGAATAAAGAATATACGTACGAGTATAGGGGAATAACAGATATAGGGATAAAGAATATGTATTGCTCGACCTACCGACTATTTCCGCTTGGGTGTAAAATATCAGGAGGCATTCGGCCTTATACAAATCACTTCCGGGATGGAATGGATGAAACGTTCACGTTGTTGCACCCACTGTCGATGGCACACACACACACACACACACCAACGAACGGGGAATGCCACGAGACACTAATACACATGCACGTGGGGCTACACCTACAACTATACACCACACACAGACACAGACACTGGCGTGTGTGTGGGAGAAAGATGTTGATGAAGAAGAGAGGAGCAAAAGCAGGAGCTCCTTTGCTTTGCCTTTTTCTTTCGCCTATTTCTTTTGTCGTGGAGGCAGCTGCTGGACACTGTGCACCGTGCAACCTTTGTGGTTGCCGCTCCCTGGATAATTATATAATTTTGTTTCACTTAATGCACTTTACGATTCGGACGCAATTGGCGCACATTTGTCGCATGATTTGCATAAACATTTTACTGATTTTTACCCAGCACACATACACTCACACACACACGCGCGTTCCGTGACGTACGCACACGCACACAGAGACACACAGACACCGAGAGGGGGCATTTACAATAGAACTTTCTGCTTATTATATTCCGGGGGCTGCTCATTCGCGTTGCGGCGTTGCCGTTGCTGCGTTGCCGTTTACAGTGGGACTTGCTTGGGACTAGTGTAAGCCACTATTTTAACTGATTTTTGGTCCGCTCTCTGTTGGCCAAGAGCCACACGGCAAACGTCGTCAATAAAACTGTGCGCCGTCACCGTCAGAGCTTGGAAAAAATGCCGCGCTCTTTGGTGGCCTGGCCTTAGTTGGATGGATTCCACCCTCCTCTCTCAGCGCCACCCACTCTCTCTCACTCTCTCTCTGCTGTCATACTCTCTCTCTGGCTCTCAGCGCCCCAAACGTGATTAAACGTGTCCAAACGTGTCGTACCCTGCGTAGAACGGTACACGAATTGTAAACAAATCGCAATATAAATACAGCTATCCAATGCTGTAGAGTCGAATTTACGAAAGACGTTCTAAAGTAAATATTATATCGAAGAAGGGATCGAGCAGCTCGTGGCAATAACTAAAGCCCAATAATAAATAAAATCTAAAAGACTAAATTTAAGGAATATATTTAACATTTATTTACCACAATTACCCTACTGCTAACACACTCTGCTACTGAAATCCAGCTGAAAGCATGCAAAAATACAGAGAGAAAAGGAGAGTGTCGCAAAAACACCCCAAAACACAATTCCCGTTTTTGGACACGTTCGGCGCATGCGTTAGCTTTTTGGTTGATGTCTTGGCAAAAGCTATGGGTGGCTATGGTGAATAAATAAGAATTTTATATCTAAAAGTAGTCCCTTAGAGCACGTAAACAAAAAAAGAGAAACTAACCGAAATGATCAAAATTGGAATAATATATATTCTGGGAATTCATTTGTTTTGCCTCTCAAGCCCCTATAAAACATTTAATATATAGCCAAATAATATAAATATAAGTATAGACATGTGTTCGAGATGTTTTCATCCCGAAATAAACCAAAAAGAAGAAACGTCAAACAAAGATCAGGCTCATCAACACTTTCACTAGACGGACTCGTGTTCCTCCGACTGACAGATTTACGGAGCGAAAACTAATCCCCCGTAAAAGTATAGAATAAAACGAGCAGATATATGTAGAATGAGATGAATACAAAGCAAGAAAGAAAAGCTAGCGCTGGGCAGCCATGATTATTATTATTATTATATTATATTATTATAATAATAATAATTATATATTATATACTATATTATAGTATTATATTATATCATATAACATGTATTTCGGTCTTGAATGAATGACAAAACATGCCCTAAAATCGGTGATCCTTAGCTGGCAAGTAAAAGGAACGAATGAGTTAAATCAAGACGACATATATTCAATTTCTATCACTTTATTCAACGTTTTACGTTAATATTTTCATGGTTGTTGTTTAATCGTACAGTTTCTACTGTAAGTATGTAGCCATACTTTTATGGGTGGGTGTGTGTGTGTGTTTGTTGTTTCGGGGGGGGGCGGGATTTGCTCGAAATTTGAACAGTTAAAGTTTAAACAATTAAATATAATAATAATAGATGTCACACGCTAGAAATAACATTACGGGTATAAACTTAGGCTTATTGTACATATAGTATGTATATGTATCTGTTTATATATATGTATATTATGGTATAGTTATGTATATGTAGATGTATCGTACCGTTAGATATCATTGCTTTAGCACAGCACTTTAAACACTTAATTGCCAGTATAAATAATGAATGTTCTTGCCATCGCAAAATTATAACAAATTTTCAACAGAAAACAAAAAAAAAAAAAATGTTCAACGACAATTTATTTCTTTTTTTTAGAAATCATTAAAGTACTGCAAATCTCTTTGGTCTACTGCCTTGGCCGGCTTCCAATCCTGCTCGGGATAATCATCAAAATTTTTGGTATCCCCATCATGATGTACATCGGGCAAAATTGGTGGCTAATAAACGAGACAAATTCAAGGGTAAATAAATATTTATTATTATTTTGATTTATATATTCTTTTAATGATCGAGTATTTATGGGCTTGTAAATTGTTGGGTAGCCCCTTTAGTAGGGGGTTTCGGGATAATAATGGAATATCCAGACAATCGATGATGTTTAACAATTCTATGGCCTCCGCATCTGTTATCCCATATAAGGATTTTTGCTGTGAAAAATCTCTCGTTAATGTGCAAAGATCTGCACAATTTGTAATAATCAATGCTGACGCATCTTGCAGTGTCTCTCGCCTGGCTGGAGGCGTATGTACATACATATGTCTGTACATTTGGGCAATTAACGCCTCCTTATGGGCCCCCCTTTTGTTACATTTCACTCGCACTCGCCTTTGGAGCGTTTTGCTGCGAATGAATCGGTAGATTTATGGGGGCCAACACCCACCCACCAAGCAGCCAAGCACCCAAGCAGCCAACCAGCCAAACAGCCAGGCAGACAGCCGAAATAGACGCTGCGGTCATTAACTAAAGGCATAGAGCTAATTTTCAAAACTGTTTTGTTTATTTGCTTTTAATTACGAAAATGTATAAAAATACATTCGCCAATTCAGAAAAAACCCTCCCCTCAAACCAAATGGGCCAAGCGTGTGTCGCGAAAATCAACATAAAATGGTTATTATAATAATTACGAAATTCGAGACCGAGACCCGGACCAGAGGGGGGGATGTACGAGTGTGTAGGGAATCTCTGAGAACAGAACTCACCTTTAGTTTCTTGTTGTAGACGTCATTCCAATTCAAGTGCTTGAACCAGCGATGCCTCTTCACGTCATCGGCACCGTTCTGGGAACAGGGAACGGAAAGAAATCATGGAAAGAAAGAAAGAAAGAAACCAAATATTAGACGTAAATAACGTATTTGCATTTTCGCAGCTCGTGTTGCGAAACGCGCGACAAATCTATTGAGCAAAAACAGCAAAAAAAAACAAAACAGATTAGAAGGAAACAAACTCGAGGAAAACGAAAAATTATTTCGACAGCATTTATTTAGCTAACTGACAACGAGCATGTGCAGATCTATCTGCGATGTCCAACAATTAATGGTTGATATATGCATTTCAATTTTTAATGCTAAAGCCAGCAACAAAGTCCCTGCCCTGACCATCCAAAAACAAGTGACAAGTGTAAACAATAATTCTCTATAAATAACCCATTTAATAAGCCAGAAATTTTCAACAAATTTGTTGCCAAATTATGTTCTATCCAATGGATGGGATGGGATGGGTTGGAGTAGGGAGAGGGTCGTAAGTGTTTCACAATCGAACAGGTGAAACCAGAAACAATCAAATACAAATTATGACAGCTTTGAAAATGCCTAAAAATAATTTACAGTAGTCTATGAAGGGAAGGGAATTCTAAGAAAGAGCAACTGAAAAAACTTTCTTCTGCCTAGCAAACATAGATCTAGATCTTGCAATAATCGTTTATTTATTTATTCAATTCGTATGTTAGATCTTCAAGAAGTTGCCATTCTCTTGCCATTGTTTTCTCACCTTCATGTTGCCCAGTCGCTTGGTTCTATCATTCACCAACAGCTTCTTGATCAAGTCTTTAGCAATGGGATCCATGTGACGTTCCCATTCGATTTTTCCACTCAATATCTTTTCATATATGCCAAAGGGCTGCTCATCGTAGAATGGTGGATAGCCCACAAGCATTTCATAAATGAGAACACCTAAAACAAAAGCATCAAATATTAGTTGGATGCACTTTAAACGCTTGAACGCTTCCATTTGATTTGGCTTACCCAATGCCCACCAATCGACGGCCTTGTTGTGACCCTTGGATTGTATTATCTCAGGTGCAATATACTCGGGCGTGCCGCACAGGGTCCAGGTGCGGTCCCTTAGCTTTTTGGCAAAACCAAAATCTGTGATCTTCAAATGGCCATCGCGATTGATCAGCAGATTCTCTGGCTTCAGATCACGGTAGACGATTTGTAGTGAGTGCAGGTACTCCAGGGCGCTGACAATCTCAGCCGCAAAGAAGTTGGCTAAATGGATATGCAATCAGTGAGGAGGCTGTTCTGCCAACAATCAGACTTAGATTACTCACAAGTTTGACTAGTAAATTTGCCTGCATTACGCAGATATGTGAACAGCTCGCCGCCGCACACATAATCGAAGATCATATATAGGTTTGAGTCATCCTTTGTGGACCATTCCCTAGGGGATACAAAATATATGACGTTAATGGAATCACAGATCTTTTTACAATATACGGAAAGAATATTGCCAGCTGGTTGTAGTGCCTCTTGCGAAAGTAAAATTCACTCTTCTTTAGAATGATCTACGAGTATATATACTCGTATTCTTTGTACACTTATGATATGTACTGTATATACTGTATATATTTTCTTGGATTTAATACTTACAAACTGATGACAAACGGATGTCGTATTTCGCGCAATATATTCCGCTCATTCTTGACGTGTTCAATCTGCTTTAGACGAATGACTTCGGTCATGGCCAAAATCTTCATGGCACAATACTTCTCCGATATCCGATCGCGACATAGGCACACGCGTCCAAAGGTGCCCGTGCCTGAAGGCGAGAGAAACAAGGGTGAAAGAAAAGAAAATCATGAGTAAGGTATCATATGTACATATATATGTATGTATGTTTGTATGTTTTCCTTCCCGAATGTATTCAAGCAAATAACCTAACCGCAAACAACATTCTTAAATATCGGGGCATGCCCCATTAAAGTGTTTGTAAATGATACGGCAAATGGTCTGGTCGGTGCCACACATATGCACAGACGAACATACATATGGGGGTGGGGTGGGGGAACGCGGTGCATAATTACTTTTTTCACTTTTGAGCACGTTTTGAGGTTACAAAACCAAGCTCTTGGCTTGGCTTGGCTTTGCTTTGCTTTGCTTTGCTTTGCCTCACTATTTGCTGGGGTGTTGGCTTACCATCGCCCATTAGATTTTCTCAACCTTGAATTTTTAATTGGGCTAACGTCCGACGAACGAGTGTGACTAAGACTGACTACGAGGAGAGTAAGTAACTGACAGAAAAGGAAACGTGGAACATGGAACATGGAACGTGCGAGCATCTCGCATTACCTCGCGCACCTAAAGGCCAAGACCAAGTGGAAAATTTCTATTCATTTTCTCTCTTGTTTCGTTGTGTTGTTTAAATGGCATTGGGGGTTGGGGGGATAGCAACAAAACTGCTACAAATTGATTTGTCTTATAAATCAAATGCCCGAAACGCAATCATTTCCCAATGAGAGTGCGGGAAAAGTTTTCCTTTCTGCAGATGCTTTTAGTTTTTCAGCACGTTTGCTGTTGGATGCTGTCTCGATGCTGATGCTGATGTATGTAGATTGTTGCGGGCCGACAATAATTAGCCATGTTGGTGGGGGGCCCATTAGACGCGCCACGTGCGTACCCCGTCATCCTACCCATTAAATTAAACAAAAGCTGAACCAGCAGCTAGTGGGCGTGGGTAGTGGGCGTGTGGCCCCATCTGAGTGCACCTGTTTTAGGCGGTGGTCGGAGTGGGGTGTGGGCCGAGAGCATTACACGTGCAAATCAAATATGAATCTCAGAAGTTGTAATTAATGAATTTTGTGTGCCTTTTGTGGTACACAAATTGGTTTCTCGATTACGTAGCCAGAATGAATCAGCAATGGAATTGGGATTATACAAGAGTTACTGCACGAGGGGAATGGGGAATGGGGAATGTGTATTAGATTATTGCTGATGTTCGCCAGAGACGTAACGAGTCAATGAGTTGATAGTTTTTCACATCTATAATTCCATTCTATAATTATACCCCAAATATTTTACAAATTCCTACACTATTGTTTGCCCAATTTTCAATAAAGAATTAAACAATGGGAGGCCCCCGATTCGAACTTTGAACAGTTTGAACTGGCCACATAAAAACGATCAAAAATAATCAGCTAATAATAATAATAAAATATATACAATCTTTTGTATTTTTTGGCTAAAATCTCTCACTCGATCCGAACAAGATGGGAATGTTGTTTAGCAATTGCTTCAGATTCCAATTCTAAATTTGGATAATCGATGAATAAATATGCGAAATATTCCAGACGATATAAATCATCCAGATATAACTACATCCAATGAGGGATGATTTTACGAGTATGATTGAAATCGTATCAGAGCAAGCGGAGCAAGAATTCCCCGCTCAACTGAGAACTGTACTGAAATCGTACTGCAGACACTGTGGGGCATTCATTCTGTGGGAGGGCGCGAAGCAAACAGAAGAAGGGGGTGGGGGCTGCAAACTATGGAAAGTATTTCCCGGCCGTAATGTTTGAAAAAATATTTCGGCCAGGCAGCAGATCTGCAGTCATGTATGGCACATGGCCTGGGCCATCATGAAACAATAACAGCAAACAGCAAAGGAAAAGTTTTACAAAGGAAGAATTTTGGGTTTTGGATTTGGAAGAGATTAGTTTTTTTTTTTTTTAAATATTTACACATTTTAATGGTGTAAAATTCTATTGAGAATAATTGACGACCAGGCATTCCGCTTGGGAGGCCGCTTCTGGTGACCTAGATATGAAAGTCTTGGCTTTACTTTTACTTTTTTGTGTAGATACTTTTTTGGTACATTGACTTTGCAAATAATCATAAAAGCGATCCGTACTTTCTGCTGCCACACACTCTCCCGTGTGGAAGTGGCATCTTCAGACTTCAGTGATGCTTGGCAACACTCAAAACGATCTTTTAGCACCTCATACACGAGCCACTTCAAGTGCAGCATCGTCTAACGTAAAGGAAAGTGCTTTTACAGACAGTTTAACTACTGCAACTAGCGCTACTACTCGCACTGCCCTCCGGCAGCACCGCGCGCACCTGACGCAGTGGCAGTGGCAGTGGTTGCTAAACGTCTCTGGCCAAAGTGAAATTGTGACAGCTGCAGAGCAGACAGCCAACAAGCGGCGCAGACGCAGAAGCAGATGTGAATGTGGATGCCACGGATCCAGAGCCAGAGCCAGACACAGACACTAGAGAGCAAAGCCAGTCGACAACAATTAAAGTCTGGCTGAGTTGTGGCCAAACCTGTTGTTTTGTGGCAGACGCAGACTCCTTCATAAAAGTTGCAGCAGCAGCAGGCAACCGGCGAAAGATGCAACTGAAAAAAGTGCGTGAAAAAAGGCGAAGAAACATATTTTACATAATACATAAAACTTTCTATTTAACGATGCGATGCCACCAACTGACCAGGCCAGACCATGACAGACCAGGCCAGACCATGCCAGGCCAGGCCAGGCCAGACCAGACCAGAGACAGTTTTCTTCATGGCGCGACAGCGTTCATGGATGCAGTCTCTCTGTCTGATGGATGGATATGGATGCCCTGCCTTACATTTGCATTTGCCCAAAAACAAATAAAAAATCATAAAATATCTGTGCCAAAAAAAAACAAAAAACAAAACGTTAAAATACTGTAAATTGCGGGGCATGTAAATGGCAGTGAATAAACCGACCCAGGCGATGCAATGCTCGTATAAACTTGGCACACTTTTGCCAATTTTTTGCAGCAGCTGCGGCCATCGCAAGTTAAATAAAGTTAATTGCGTTTCATGCAGTTCATTTAAGCAAAGTTTGTTTAAAGATGCATAAATAAAGGAACCCCGACTGAGCGAATGAGAGATACAATCATGGGGAGCTGCAGTGCCACGGAGCCACGGAGGCCAGGCTAAAAATAATCTACACGTACAGACGTACTAGCAAGATGCTTTTAAGTTTAAACAATATCAAGTCAACATTGAGAACTGATCGTCAGTAAAGCTGTTGTATTGTAAATAACGGCAAACAAAAGTGCTTTTCAGGTCGTTTGATAAGTGCTGAATGAGTAAGTTAATTAATGACAAGGAGACTACTAATGGAGGCTGTCTAAATTATATTTCCCACTTAATGCACACTGACAATCCCTCAACACACAAACAGAACCCATTGCCAGAATTCAGATTTCAGATTTCAGTTCTTAGATCATCTGCGTCTACAATTTGATCATTTTAGACAACAAATTCAAAAGAACTGCACCACGGAAGTCGCCCACTGACCCCACAGGCACACCTTGCCCAGCACACATTTCCATCCGATGACATCCCCCCTCCCCCTCCTGGTCATAACTTAAGCGATTTATGACATTTACCAAAGCACATGTTCGTCGATTGGCCAACGCCAACAACCCACCTGCCTGTGCCTGTTCGTGCTGCTGCTGCTGTTGTTGTTGACAAGATTTTACACCGCAATTTACAAGTCACAAAAATTGTGACAGCAGCAGCAGCAGAGGCAGCAGCAGCAGTGGGGGAGGTGGATATCGAACATCAATTCGGAAATATGGAAACTGTAGGGTATGGCTGCAGTTCGAATTGCCAGATGCACAAATGCATTTTTAGGTCACTTTTATTAATAAGACAAAAACAGAGCAGAGCAGACGGCGAAAACAAAAAAAAATGCTGTTTATAACGCAATTTTATATGCTCATTTAATGTTTGAGAAAACGCCGCGACATGCATGCGAAAATAAAGCCAAACCATGGGCGGCAGCCCATCGGACGATTTCCCGAGTCAAGTCTGGGGTGTCCCGTACAGCGGGCAGATTTCTGTGAGCGGCAGCAGGAGGTGCAGGAGGTGGTGGAGGAGCAGGAGCAGGAGGGTGGGGGCGCACATTCGATCTGGGCATAGTGCCAAATAATAATTTCTATAATATTTGCTTATACGTTTGTCCGATTTTGTTGAAATAAAATTTCGGATATTTTCTGTCTTCAAAAAGTTTACAGAGATCGAGCAGCGCAGCGGGGCGTGGGGCGCGGTGTGCGGGTTGCGGGTGCAGTGCTGTGCGGCTGATTCAAATTTTCCATGGTATCATAAATTTCTTGTTGACTGATTTTGTCTTTTCATGCGGCGAGAGCAGCGAATGAAATTATTATAATAGATACACAGACACATATGTACATATGTACACTTAAGTGTAGGTATATGCACGTATAGATCCGTAGATATATGGTTAGATATGGGCCGCCAGGCACTTAGCAGACAAACAAACAAAAAATGGAGCAGGACGAGGGTTGAAAGAGGTAATCCATTTTCCATTTGCCATTTTCCATTTGGAACTGTATGTATGAGTTATACTTTGCAGACGGAACGACGACACACAACTTGTTGTTCTACACACGAACAGCCACTGGGACATGTGTTTGCTATCTGACAGATACATTTAGCTGCTTGAGATTTGATTGGTTTTTATTATTTAAAAATCAATTTATTTGAAAAGCGCAGAAAAAAAATATAAAGCAACTCCCCACCCACCCCATCAGCAAACACCGACACTCTCTCGCTCACTCTCTCGCTCACTCTCTATATTGATTTCAATTGGAAAATGGCAACAATCTTTGGGGCCTTGTTTCGGGCAACAGCTTTATGTCCCAGCTGAAATTGTATTTCCGAGAATCGTGCGTAAATATTTATCTTGTAGCAGAAATCTATCAGTCAATGCGCCCACAAGTCGCAGTCCAACGGCAGCCCACAGCAGATGCGGCAGTCTAAAAGGATTGTCTCTCTGTCCAGATCGGTGATCCGCTATGTGCGATCCATTCATACACAGAAAAAACCCCCCCACACAGGGGCAATTTGTCAACTTGATATATTGGCTGTGGAAGGTCAGCGGTGTCAAGATTGTCACCGATTTCCGCATGCCATTTGTCAAGATGTCTCCCCCCCTAAAGTGAGAGAAGTAGGCCACCAAATAGTCACATGGGGGGCCGTACTTTCCATTGGCCAAACTTCTTTGAGAGATCATTGATCTTTGGAGAACATTTTATAGATTTTTCCAACCATTTTAGATACTCCTTACTTTTCTCCCGGATACTTCAATGATAAAATACCCGCATGCCACGAACTTTCACTCGCACAACTCTGTCCGCTTGCAATCCAGTTAGCCGAGAGCCAAGCATTTCCTTTTGGGAGCAGAGTCCATGCCACGTCGGTGTTAATGGCAGTCCGAACCAGTGATATGACAGCCATCTAACGCCATAGTTTTATGGCCTTTTCCTGGGTATGCTTATGGATCCATCGCCAGGCATGCAGTCAGAACATGCACAAAACAGAAACATGTTTAATTTGTTTGCCCGCGGGAAAAACAAAAGATCTGTTGTTGTTATTCGAAAATTGGCAAAACATTTCTTGGGAAATATTCCCTGAAGGAAATCCCCGTTGCTGTTTTTTTCTTTTTTTTTTGTTAAATTCCATCATCTGCTCTTGCTGAATCAGACACAAGTCTGCAAGGGAGACGAAGATGGGAACTTGTGGCGTGTGGTCCATGAGGTAAACTTTCAATTAATCAATGGAATTTCATACAAGCATCGAGCGAACTATCAATATTTATTGAAAGTGCGTTGTTTTGCTTTTAGTTCAATGCATTTGCTTCCTTCCTCCCATTCAATATAGCTCTCAACATCCCCTGGGCTGGGTTTTCCTCAATTATGGCTACTGCATGCAACGATGATGATGATGATGATGCCCGCATCTCCTGGCCATTGTTCTTATGGTTATTGTTATTATCAAAATGAATAGCCGCAGGGGCAGAGAGATGGCTGATTATTCTTCGTATGCCCTAATAGAAGCGTGACTCACTGGCATTTGTTTTCTCTCCCTCCCCAGTCTCCCAGTCTCGCAGTCCCAATACGAATCGTACTCCCCTGGCTATGCCATGTGCTTGTGCATAGCATGATATCCGCTCTAGTTTATTTACTTTTTACTTGAAGATTTTGTTGAAATTCGTACTCAATACCTTTGCCCGATTCCATGTTTCACTGGCAATTGTTTGAACTTAATGCTAGATTACTCATACGTCGTGTGGTGTGCTATAACACTGGGATGCTGAGAGCCAAGGCGGAAAGGCAATCGCCCGGAATTACTCACTCACTCGACGTGAAAGTTGCTGATTGAAGAATTTTACGGAATGAATTCAGCACCGGAAAGGCATTCGAACATCCCATTCTTGACTTCAAGAGGCAACGGACTAAACAGAAAGTGCAGGCAAGTCTGCAGCACGACTTGATGAGTTTTGTAGTTTCTATGTGGCAGATTAAAGTTCATTGAAAGACTATTAATTACACCCACAACCCCTTTTAAAAGCAGTTTAATTATACCTAATTGCTAATTTTATCTGAAAAGTCGACGAATTAAATGATCTTACTCCCACATTGATTTGAAAGAACTTTCAATGGATCCCAATTGGTTGTACTGAGCGAAAAACGATCGATAAATAAATGTTGCCAAATTACTTTCATGCCACCGCAAAGAGGAGCAAGAGGAAAACCGCTCCACACGTGTACTAAAAGCCAATGCTGCAGTAATAAATCTTGAAAACGTCCCGATTTAGCCTCAAACCGAGTAAATATTTATGCCGCAAACGCTTAATGAGATTTTGGAAATCCCAACCGATGCTATACTAAACTTAAAACATTGCTTAAATGTTTTTCTTTCTTATATTTTTTTTTTGCCACCGTAGACGTCAAATGGGAAAACAAATCAAAATATTATGGGCATTAATGGGTTGAGCGTCCATGCGAGTACGTAAGACCCCCATTCATGATCCTAAACAGAGTCCAAATATAGTACATACATGCGTACATATATGTATGTATGTATGTACTATGAGTGCGAACTACACTTTAAATATTTTCTAAATGAAATTATACGCAAGCCATGGGAAGAATCGCCTTGGCCTCTGCGGTGCCGAGATGCTCATAATAATTATAAGAAGAACATGGACCATCGCCGAGCCCCATTTCAATTTGCGTAATCAATAAGAATTTATTTACGTATAAAACGAATAAAAAGCAATAGAATAACTGAAGCTAGCGTTAAGCTAGAGCAGGCATTAAGGCAGAGGCATACAAAATGAGGTAATAAATATTTGAAATTAAATCGCGAAACGAAATCAAAAGAATAGCAAACAAAATCAAAGCCCAGCGAGAGGGAGGGACATACACACATGCGAGTATATGTGAATCAATTGTATCCAGATGAAATAAGTGAAGACGAAAACGATTTCGAATTGATTGAACAGGTGAGAAAACTCTTAAGGAAACAGAAGTAGAGAATCTCTGTGGGGGGGTGTTCATGTTCCAGCATGAAATATGTTTCAGTGGAAGTCGTTTTGGTCTCTTGCTGCAACTTATTCGATCTCTCCTTGTGATCTCATCAAAACCTTGACTCTTGAACCGACCTAGAACTACTCGTAATGTGTTTTGATAGCTTCACTCTAAACAGTTTCCCCGCCCCGCGCACACGCGCAAGCAAAACAAATGGAAAGCTCCGGGGAGACAAGTTGAAGGTAACCGAAGGAGGCGAGACCTCAACATCAATCACTCCGATGCCTGGCACCCACCTAATGTAAACAACTGTCGCATGTTCGGTTGACTTACCCACAGTTTTGATTATTTGGTAGTCGTCCAAGTGATATTTGCGAACTCCCTTGGCCGTCTGGACGCTGCTGCTCTCATCGGAGTCATCCTCATCCTCCTCGTCGTCGGTCTCATTGCCGTCATCCTCGATGCTCTCGTTGGAATCATTGGTAACATCATCGCCGTCGCGACCATTGCCATCGTTCTCATCGTCATCGTCCTCCTCCTCGTCCACCTCATTGTCATGGTCAGCGGAGCTTGTTGTGGTGGTGGCACTGCTGCTGCTCCGGCTGCTTACGTGGTTCTGCTGGCTCTGCTGCGGCTCCGGCTCTGGCTCCTCCTCCTCGCTGTAATCTGATTCCAAAGGATCTGATGACTCACTTGAGGCTACGCTATGACCGCCGCCGCCACCCACGCCGTGGCTGCCGCTGCCGCTACCGCTGCTGCCATTTGCACGGCCCAATTTGAATGTGAATGTCGCCTCTGTGTTGGTGTCACTCGCTGGAGTTTTCTTCTTGTATGATGACGTCATGCTGCTGTTTCCTTTTCCTGCTGTCAATTTTGATGAGGATCCTGCGCCTGATGTGTTGGACTTGGCTTTGTTGGAGCCGCCACCGCCTCCAGCTGTCAACGGCGTACAGAAGCGGGCGCAAGCGGCTGCTGACATATCTCTGCCAATCCCTCGCTCCTCCTGCGTTTGTCCTGCGTTTATTTTTGGCTCTCGCTTTCGCTGGCCCTCTCCTGTTGTTGTTCTTCCTGCAATTGCATAGATAAAACCACAAAAAATGGATTAGAATTCAATGTAAATGTGAATTTGATGAAAAGCTTTTTGTGGTATTTTTGCCATTGAAATGGGTTTCTTTTTGTGGGCAATATCTTGACGGGTTTTCAATTCAAATATCGATGGGCTGCAGATGGACTTTTAATGCTTCCTGCAATCCTTGATAGAAATTTTAGATTTTACTTATTCAACGCAGCTCTCGCTGGCAGTCTTTTTGTTCTAAATAATTGCCCTGAGGTATATTTTTACGACCCATTCCCATGCCCTATACCTCGTTTAATTAACCCACTGAGGGAGGTGATGGGTGAGTGTAGATGGTTCCCTTTGTATTTAGGCCTGACACACAGCGAGCATGAGAGAGAGAGAGTGTGAGCTTTTGTCGTGCTCATAAATTGAAAGTGAAATGGCATGGCCGCTGGTCAAATGCTGGGCATCGGCATCCAGCAACAAGTGGGCTTGTCCCCATGTCTGTCTCGGGTCTTATCAGAGGACATGCAGGCTGACAGACAGGGGCATTGTCATTGATTGTCAGGATGGGAAAATTGAGTTCTACAATATATATGCGAAAGGGTTTGGCTTTTCTTCTATCTTCCCGACACAATGGAGGCTCCAGTTAATATTACATACTAATATTATTAATAACAATGAATGCATTCGTGATTCAATTTGATGGCTGGCTGGCTGCCTAGCTGACTGGCTGACTGGCTGGCTGACTGGCTGGGTGGCTGCCTTGCTCCAAGTCCCACAACAAAAGAAACACTGAGAGTGTGTCCCCCCCAGACGTGTAACTTAATAGCCGAGACACAAAGCGCCAAGAACTCTCGACTTGACTTGGGCACTTGAGGTCTTGTGGCGTCTCAGTCAGTGTGGCGTCCCGTGTCCGTGTCGCCTGAATGCACTGATGCATTTAATTTAACGATGCAAAATATAAAGGAAATGCCCTGAATATGAAAACTTATGATGCATCTATCTATCTATCTACATATATGGATGTACATATGAATATAAAAATCAATAATCATCTACGAGTTTGAGTACTTACGGCCTGAGTGGCTTTTATTGTTTAAGCGAGTGCCGGATGAATCTAGGCCAGCCAGTGCCAGCCAGTCAGGCAATACGAGTAGAAGAGCATTCAATTGATTCAAAGATTGCACAAAAAGCAACCGCCAAAATGGGGCCTCGCAAAGAGGAAAGGATTGATGAGTAAATCATTAGCCAGCTGCAGCTATTGGCTGCTCCAAAGGCCAAGAATATGACAGTGGATTAGTCAGGCTTGGCAGCTGATATTGAAAAGTAGCGATTAAAATGGGAAATATGAGAAAAGTTCATAGAAAGAGAATATGAATAGAGACTGGATAGAATGAATTCATTTCGGGTGGACTCTATACAGTTCCATTCACAGAAAATCCTACAAAATTCACTCTCGTCTTTTTGTTCTCTATATTTTTTGTTTTACTTCTTAAATGTCTCAGTCATACGTCAATTGTCTCACATCGAAACAGAAACAGATACAGAAGCAACAATATATAATTCACTTCACACGCCTCACGCTCTAATGACATGGCAAATCCCTAGACTTCTGTATATATTATATATATTTAAATATACATAAATATGTTAACTGCGCATCAACTAAAAAAAAAACATTACTAATAATATTTACAATATTTTATTATTGGAGAAACCTTGTCATAATGGAATTTTTTTCGTATTATTTTTGCTATTCGCAAACAAAAATCTTCAAAATTTTATTTGATATTTTTCTTTGTTTTATACATATGTACAAGTGTATGCATTTGTATTTGGATTATTATTATTACACAAACCATGCGAGTATGTATACATTTTATGAACGGTCTGTCACTCAGAATTATTTATGTACGACTTTAACCTTTTTGCACATTTTCGGATAAATGTGAAACGCCAACGCATTAAAATTGCGGAAATATAACTTAAAGTTGCTTGAGGCAGAGTGCAGGGGATTGTTTTGAGAATAATATCTCAAAAAAATTATTGTAGACAATCGCTCGGGGGGGCTGTAAATTAGCCACAGACCCACAGACCAACAGGCTACAGCTACAACAAGTACAAAACAGTCAGACATTCGGTCGGATCTCGGATCTTGGATCTATATAGCCCACTCTGAGCAGCGCCTTCCCCCCCATTCACCTTGGTGGCTGCCAAAAATTGAAAATGGAAATGGAATGGAAATTGGGGTCGTCGTAGTCGTCGTTGCCAGAGAGCCAAAATGTTAAATTGTTGCTTAATCTTCCGGTGGCCAGCACTCTGCTTTCAGCCTGCTTTCGTGAATGGAAAAAGCCCATCGAAAATTGTATACTATATAACATACATACATACATACATATGTATGTACATACGTATATAAATCTTCGAAAAGTTTGCCGAAAAAATCAGGTGAATGAAAGTGAAAATCGTAAAGATGTTTGGATTAAACATAAATCTGAGGAAGATTTAGAAGTGCTATAAATAGTAAATGGCAGTTCCTGTTCCAAAATACACCTGCAACTTAGCGGGTCAATGCACTTTTAGATGCAGTTTATAGTTTGATTATTATGCATAAAAACAAATACAAAATAAATTATTGTGGATTCTCCTCCCTCGGGAACTTTCGATATCACTTCATCATTTTCCTCTCTTTTCTTTCCTATTTTTAACGTTTTGTGTTTTTATTTTCGCCCCAGCTAATTTATTGCTAAAATCTGTCTGTATTCGATTTTCTTTTTTGAGAAATTTCCACTCTCCCAAAATTATGAAACTCTTCCCATGTGGGGGGGTCTCACACACACCTCACATTAAGGCGCTGTGATTTATATAGAATATTAGAATAATATGATGAGATTGCTCAATTTGGTGACTGCAGGCCACTTGAACTCTGAATCCAAGAATTAAATTTACGTTCAATGTTTTGCAACATTTATTAATTCGTTGGCCCTGCCAGCGTATAAATTATGTTATTAATTAATTAAAAGCAACGTGAAGCGATTTGTTCCGATATATACGCATATGTATGGGTGTGATATATGGATAGACGTATCAAAAAATACAAAAAAAAAAAAAACAGCCAGAGGCTTCTCATATTTTTATCCTCGTCATCGGTGTATTTTTGAACAGAGAAAGAGAATTTGTTGTAGGCGTTGTGGGAATATTATTAATTTGCGTCCACCAGGAAACCAAGTATCAAGAAATGTAATTATGAATAAGTGCATGCGTTCGTATTAACGATCTGGGTGTTACCAAAAACGAAAATTCATTGCCCATTTCAAGTTGACAAAATACAGATTTTCCTCGTCTCTCTCTCTCTCACTTCTGTCTCTCTATGGGCAATAAACCCCAAATGGCAATAATCATCAAAAATAATGCCGGCAAAATGTAATAATAACACGACATAAGCCCTGCCCCTGTGTACTCTTCGGGAGGGGTTTCTCGAACTCATATAAGGGCGAAAGAGATTTATGGATTTGTTTTTTTATAGTGCAAGAAGTATTTCCTTTCCGTTGTCCTTGTGCTAGTTCTTAGTATTGTGTTTGGTGATGAAAATACATAAAACTTTTATGCGTATGAGGAAGTTGCGAAAAAAGATTGACGTGTTGTCCTTGACCGGGTCTAAGGCGAGAGAGTTAGTGAAGTGAGGCATGAAGAAAGGCTATTTAAATGGGGTCAACTACATGGAAATTGTGCGTGCACTTGAAGTACGAGGATAGAGAGTAGAAATGCTGGTATATATGGCATAAAGGTGTGGATCCAATAGAATGAAATTCAAGGTAGAAACTGCTATTTGATCCGAAGAAAATAGGTGGGAATAAGTGGAAATCTGTTGCAAGCCAAAGGATGGCCAAAAAGATTACTACTTTCCTCTCTCATATAGGAAACTAGAAATACATAACATAAGTAGTACATAACTTTTCCATTCTAAATATGAAAATAAATCTTTTCCTATTGTTCCCATTTGGCTAATTACAATAATTAAATAAGCACGGCTAATTTTAGTGCTCAATGCTTAATTATCAAGCGAATTGGTCTTCACTTTTTCTATTTTGGAAAGCAAAACATGATCAGATTATTGCTGCTGTGCTGTGCTGTGCTGTGTGGCTGCTGTGTGCTGGCCACTTTTTACACCATTTCGTATGAGTATTTATGATTACTCACCCAGCCAAATGTTAAGAGGCCACAATCGCCGGCTGTTTTGGTTTTTCTTAACGATCGCTGGCGATCTATATTCTTATCTGTCCGTTTTGTCTGTCTGGCTTTGAGTTCTAATTTTTTGCTGGAGCAAAATTTGAACGGTTGCGAAATTGTTAAAAATAAATATGTTACTTTGCGAGCGCACGATTTTTCTTCGGGCCGTCTGGCCGTCTTGCCGTCTCGATTTTTCCCTCTTTCTTCTGTTGGCCAGGCCACAGTATTAGCAACAACAAAAAGCGAAACCCGCAGAAACCGACCGACACAGAAACAGAAATCAGAAATAAACTCAACACTCAGCGTTTTCTCATGGGCTATAGGTAGACCAGATCGACTGGACACACTGGACCCCGGGCGGACAGACGGCGGCGATACTTTGCTTTATTTGTGTCACTTTTTTGTGGGTTTTTGTTTTTGTTTTTAGCTTTAGTTTGTTTCTTGCGATTCGGTTCGGTTTGTCGCGCTTTGCTTAAGAACACAAAGTACCGCTTTGGTTTACAACAACTTCAAGTGTTTTTTGTTTGTTTGTTTCGTTTTGTTTTGCTTTTGTTTTTGGTGTATGCCTTCTTGGGGATCGTGAGATCCAAAAGATCTAGAATTTCCGGTTTTGCAGCTTGCAGTTTTTGTTTGTACCCTGTTGCCGTTTGTTTTGTTTTGTTTTGTTTCTACCTTTTGGCAAGTTGTAACAATTGCAATATGCAAATCAACCGAATTATGTGTAATTAATCAAAAAAGTTGCCACAACGTTCGGACAATTTGATTTTTTCTGAGATTTTCCAATGCCGATTTTGTTCAGTATTATTCAGATTTTCTTATCGTTCTTCTGTTCTATTGTGGGATTTGTATTGTATTGTTGACCAGCCGCTTCCACGTTTTGCACGAAACTGAAACGTAAAATCTGCGAATCGTTTGCCAGAGCTCTCGTTGTCGGCGTCGGTCGGCCCCCACTCACTTGATGGCAATGATGATGGTGTGGCAGTGTGGCAGGGGCAGCAGCAGCAGCACCACCACCAACGAACGAACATTGATGATGATGATGCCGATGGCTATGGCGATGACGATGAGCTGGCTTGGGGGGCTGTCGGAGATGCTGGCGAGATGCTGTGGAGCTTCATTCGATGTTTGTGTTTGCTCTCCATGTGTGTGGCAGTGCCTCTACCGCTGCCCATGTCTGTGCTGTTGCTGTTGCTGTTGCTGTTGGAGTGTTCCTCTTATGGTCTTAAACGGTTTGGCGGCACAAAGTGGCCAACAGGATCAGTGGAAGTACAAGTTGTCCGTGATAAGGGAGCCCATTGTGGGCCATCGTCTGGCTAATTTACACTGTGTGCACCTCTAATACGTATATATGTATGTAGAAGACAGACGTCGGAAAATGTTTTGTTTGTTTTTAGTAGACATCATGGCAACACAGCAGCGAAGAGAAATCTGGGAAATATGTACATACTCGCGTCGTATGTACATATATGTATATTTACGAGCCCTCCCAAGTGTAAGCAAACAGCGAATGGCTCTTCAACAGTTTTTGATTTTGGATATTTTGGATATTTGGGTTTTTGGCTTGGTTCGGCTTGCATGTTTATGTTGATTTTGTTGGCTGTTGTAATCAAGCTTGACAAGGTCAGGCGGCAGCAGTTAGTCGGTTCAGACCAGACGCCTGCGTGCCAGAGCCACATTTCAGGTGGCACATAGTACAATTGTTTTATGCATTTCAATTTGATGTTATAATTAAGCGAAAGCAGGCACGAAATCTTAGCTTGCTCTGCCACAAAATATTCCTATGGATATGTATGTGTGTGTGTGTTGCAACTTGCAAGAGTGTGTGTGTTTTTATGGGCTGCTGCAGTCCTGCTGTCAAGGGCAAGGACAGCCAGCGCTGGCACTCACCTGCTTGAGTGTGCAATGTGGCATAGACGCGCTGTTTCCTCCGACTGGACGGGCTGTCATGGTCCGGACAGGCTGCTAGACAGGCGGTTATTAGTTTTTAACATCCCATCAGAATGTCAAGAAACCACCAATTCACAATTAGCTCGATCGTGGTGAACTTTTCCATGATTTCATTCAAATACAAAAAAAAACCGACTATTTACAAAACATTTTGAATTTTCCCTCCGATATATCGATTGTTCTGTTGACACACGTTGCCAGACTGTTAAGTTTCTGTTATAGATGGCCAGCAGCTGTTTAAAAAAAAAAACAACAAACTGAAAGAAAAAAACGCTACGGTCCACATCTCTGTCGCAATAAAATAATAGTTTTACGCTGATTTACACCCAAAATGCAGTTCTCGTGGATGAAAGTGGCCATATATCTGTTGACATTTCTCACATACGCCTATTCCGGCTACGGATCAAGCACAATTGTCCATGTAAGTGAGCTTCTCCCTTGGAATGCACTTCTTCGCCCCTACTTAATGCCCAGGTGTTTCCAACCTCCCCTCCGGACAGCTAAGGGATGCCATCATTGCCGCCGAGGCAATCTTTGGTGACGTGTTCAGGAATCTCATCACGGTTGTGCGCAAGTTTCGCACCGTTCACGAGGTATTTGACGCTGCCGTGGAGGAAAACTGCGTGTTTCAGTGTCCACCGCCAGACGGAGGGGGCCCAGGTACTATGACGCAAATTGCGTTCGAATTATGTAAATTCTCAATACTGACGTGTGGTTTGTGGTTTTGCAGCGCCTCGAGCAGTTCAAAATAAGTTCTACACACCGACCGCAGATGGCTGCGGCTCATTGGGACTGCGGATAAGTACGGACTACCTGCCGGCCGTGGAGATGGAAACTTGCTGCAACGACCACGACATCTGCTACGACACGTGCAACAGTGACAAGGAGCTGTGTGACCTGGACTTTAAGCGTTGCCTCTACAAGTACTGCGACAGCTATGAGAAATCCCTAACCAGTGACCTGATGACAAAGGGATGCAAGGCGGCCGCCAAGATGCTGTTCACTGGCACTCTAACGCTCGGCTGCCGGTCGTTTCTGGACTCACAGAAGCGCTCCTGCTACTGTGCCCCAGCTAAACCGACCTCCTATAATGGCAACAAGTATGCAAACAGCAAGGAGAAGCAGCAGCGCCAGAAGTTTGGCTGGAAGGATCGCAATGAGATATAGCACATAGCTAATGCATGCGCATACAAGAGGATAGACGTATAATTAAGTATTTGTTAAATGTTGTCGTTCAACTTTGTTTCATGTTAGTCTTGAGGTGGAGCCCATTTCCTGCCAATAATGGAAATCGGCTCTTTATCTGACGAATCTGAATTTTTATATTTATACACCAAAGAAAGTATCTCCCCTCTCCAATAAATATATGGATATTATTGCCAATGAAAAATAATCAAAACAATACATTTGAAATTTAAATCGGCTTCCCACCGATAGTCAACGACAGTACGAAAATACCATACTTTTCACACTGTACAACACTTAGGCGAAACAAGTGCAACAAATATACCATTTATGGTATTTAATTCATACTTTTCGGAATATTTTGACGCCGAATTGGAGGGTCAGGCGGTATATTTTGTCCATAAATCCGCGGTCACACTTTTGCGAACTGCAGCAAAAAAATTTATCGCTGAAATTCAATTTTCTTAAAATCGTATTTATGTATTTATAGTCATGTTATGTTAAGTGACAAAAGGCTAACATGGGCTACGATGTCAATCGATTTCAGGGAGAAGTGGACGAGGAGCTAACATGCCCCATATGCTCTGGAGTTCTGGAGGATCCGCTGCAGGTTTGTTGTGCCCCACGAACGAGATCTCGAGTGCAACTTATAATTTTTCTATTGCAGGCGGTCATGTGCGAGCACGCCTTCTGTCGCGGGTGCATCAACGAATGGCTAACACGGCAGCCCACATGTCCCGTGGATCGCAACGCTCTGACGACAGCCAATCTACGTGCCGTGCCTCGTATATTGCGCAACCTACTGTCCAGGTGAGAACGACCGACCGACCACCCACTGCATTCGACGGCTTGAACCTCTAAGCTAATAATCTATTCACGCACACATTCAGACTATCAATTACCTGTGACAATGCACCGTATGGCTGCACCGCTGTGCTCAAACTAGACGTATATAATTCCCATTTAGAGGACTGCATCCACAATCCGAAGCGACCCTTTCCCTGTGAAAAAGGCTGTGGCTTCGACATACCCAAGGACGAGCTAAAGGATCACAATTGCGTGCGGGAGCTGCGCACGCTGATCGTCAAGCAAACGGAGAAAATGGTAGAGCTAAAATCGGAGCTAACCGACCAGCAGCTGACCATCAATGAACTGAAACGGGAGCTGCAACTGTTCAAGGACTTTATGCGTGCCATGCGCGTCTCCAATCCGGCAATGCGCGCGATAGCCGACCAGATGGAGCGGGACGAGGTAATTCGCTGGAGTAGCGCCCTGCCCCGGGCCAGAGTCACGCGCTGGGGAGGAATGATCTCTACGCCCGATGATGCACTGCAGGTGAGTCTTTTCCACAGATTCTGTGTGTGAGTGTGCACAACTGAGACGTCTCCGATTCATTGCAGCTCATGATCAAGCGCGCTCTGTCCGAGTCGGGCTGTCCGCCACACATTCTGGATAGTTTAATGGAGTTCTGCCACGAGAGACGCTGGCCGCGGGGTCTTAGTTCGCTGGAAACGCGTCAGAATAACCGCAGAATCTATGATAACTATATCTGTCGGCGCATTCCAGGTGAGTGTATGAAAATTCGCCTGCAAACAAACATGCCCCTAAACACTTCGCTATCCACCAGGCAAACAAGCTGTGCTCGTGCTGAGCTGCGATAACCTGCACATGACTGAGGACGTGATGATCGATCCGGGCCTGGTTATGATCTTTGCCCATGGCATTGAATAGGCCCCCGCTACCACTACCACTACTTATCCTAGGTCAAGTTCTTACAATATCCCTCCCACCCCCACCCCAACAGTGCTCAGTTTTGTTGATTTCTTAACAATTAAGTTTAATAAGCATTGAAATCGTCGAATCGGTTTTGATTTGTGCAGCCTTAGAACTAAGACAACCACTCGCAGAATAATCTCACTCAAAGGAAAGACCATACCATAACATACCATACCATTCAAGCGCCTCATGACGACTTTCAAGTTGTACAAACATTTATACACTCCGAATCGTTGTATCTCTTTTCTATTCTATTATATTCTATTTAGTTTGTAACAAATTATTCCTCCCATTTATACACACAGCCAACAACAACAACATCATTTTATTTGTCTAATTAAGCGATCTCAACGAAGAAAAGAAAAAGCCGATTTGTTATTGTTCTCTGTTCACTTCCCTTTTTGGACCATGTGAGTGTCTTAATTTGTGTTTCGATTCCTATAGAGCACAGTTTTGAAATTATTATCAATACTTATTATAGTAGTTTAAACTTTAAACAAGCAAAAAACGTAATATTAAATAAAAGATTTATTCAAATTATACTGCTGCACACGCCACTCCACTCGACTCGACTCGACTCAAGTGGAAAAGAAAAACAATCATTCGCTTGGATCTTGGATTGAGAAATCCCCAAAATCAATAAGTTCACTGGGATGCTGCCCCCTCTACTCACTCAAACACGCACACACACACACACACGCACGGCATCCAGCCCCCTCAGAAAAGTTCAGTTCTGAGAGAGGAGGTGGAGGGAGCAACATCTGTTTCCAGAAAAGGAAATCAAGCGCACAGCAGAGGCAAAAAAATAAACAAAAGAAAACCAAACTAGTTCCTACACGAGCTTTACTCTTAAAAGAAAAAAGTCAATTTGGAAAACCGGTTTCGGCTTTTTGTACACCCGTTTCGTATCGTTTCGTTTTTTTCCTATATGATACAACATTATTAAATCTTTCTGCCTGTTACATGTGCCAAAATCTACACACATATATGTATGTATGTATGTACATATGTGTTATATATATTTGGCGAAACATATTTGGATTATTGATAGAAACCATTAGTGAGATCGTTTCGCCCCCCGTGGCGATTGAAAAGTGAGAGTTCGCAGATCGCAGAAAGGCGGAGATAGATATTTTCAAGCAGTTTTTATTGAAGCTTCGAAGCTGGCGGACGTGTCCAGAGAACCAGAGCCAAAATGAATGTGTCAATTTTGTTGCTTGTTGTGAGTGCCGTCTGCCTGGGAGCAGCGTCAGCAGCGCCTCAGTTGAGACAGCGCAACGAGAAGCAGGTCCAGACGGTCGAGGATGAGTTCCGTGAGTGTAAAATGTCTATTATTTAAGCATGATAATCTAATCTCAGCTATCTGCAGCATACAAGGGAGCTACCATTGAGGAAGTGGTTGTGGAGTCTGCCCTGTACATCAAGCCCAAGGCTACACAGCAGATTAGACGCGTGAGATCGGCAGATTCAGCAGATTCGGCAGACTCCCTTCTTCAAGGCATTTATGCGACACACAAGCGGGTGAAGCGTGGCCGGGGAGGCCGAGGTCCTGGCTTTGGTGACCAATACGCAGGAAATCCTGGTTTTGGCGCTGGGTTTGGTGGCGGCTTTGGCGGCAACCAAGGATTTGGCGGCAACCAAGGATTTGGCGGCAGTGACTCACAGGTTGGCAGCTCAGCAGGAGCTGGAGGAACTAAAGCCGGTGTTGATGTTGGCGCCGGACCCAATGGCGGCAATGCCGATGCCAATGTCCAGCTGAATCCACTCGGTCCACTCGGACCCAGCGGCTTCAACCAGGAACAGGCTGTCTCCAATGGCGCTGCCCACAGCAACTACAACCACGGACACAATGCCGGCTCCTCGGCGGCCAATGCCCAGGCCCAGGGATTCCAGTCGCAGACTGCCAATGGTTCCTTCGGCGCCTCCTCCGCCAGCACGGCCACCCAGTCGCAGAACATCAGTCCATTCGGCAGCAACAATGCCGCTGGAGCCTCGCTGAGTCAGGTGTACAAGCTGCCCAATGGCCAGACGATCAATTTCAGTTCCACCAATAGCTTTGCCAACAACGGGGCCAACCAGGGAAACAGTCACGGCGCAGCGGTGTCTGTGAGCCGCTAAGCGACAGTCGACAGCTTATTTAATTTTTATGTGTGCAATTATTTAAATGTGCAAATAAATAATTATTTTTCGAATGCAATTAACATTTTAAAGCAGAGCCGTTTTAAATTCGAACTGAACCGCGCTATGTTAATGCACTGCAAAGTGTGGCTGTAATTGCGCCTAACAGCACTTGTAAATCAAGGTGTCTAACGGGGCGCTGTGGGCATGTAGATGCCGTGTAAAATTACTTTATTTGTAAAAAATGAAAGAAAAGGCGCCACTAGCGACTTTGAAGCGAAGTTTTGCTCTCCAGCTGTTCGGCGCCATATTTAAATTATTATATTAAAGTTTTTACAGATAATATATTTTGGGCTGTAAAAATGACTGCAGAAAATTCTGAGCACCCCCGAAAATACGCGCAGATCTGTCAATAGATTCCATGAGGAATCGCATCTTTCCGGATCGGATGTGGAACCGATCTGCCCTGACGTGCATTTATTTACAGTCAATTTATGTACAATACAAGTGTTTTAATTATTTAATAAAACTTAAAGTAATGAATTATGTTGACAAAATGGATATTTATGTTGTGCTTAGGCATCTCTATGTTTCCTTAATCTTAACCTGCGCCCTAATCCGACTCACTTTCACTCTCCGATTGGAAATCGCCCACCTCGATGGAGAACGTGTACTCTTGATCGCAGCCCAAGTAGGAGTCGCTCATGTAGTACAAGGTATAGTCATGTTTGCCCGGACTGGGGGCCACAAAGTCCAGCTTGACCTTGGCCTTCTGCTGGAGCGTGAGCCGTTTGATGGAGAGCAGCGAATTGGTCTTGGGATCACCAATAACGACCCACCAGCCCTCTTCGCGCTTCTGCGGGAAGAAGGGTGCAATGACGGGGCCGGTGACCTCATCTTCGCGCTCCAGCTGGACCACCACATTGATTGTGGATCCCGAATTGATGCGATCTTTGTCGACCACCTCATAGTTGAGCTCAATGTTGGGATACCGATTGCAGAATCGGGCCACATCGGCCATCTGTGTATCGGAGAGCTGCAACAGACGCGTGCGATCCTCATCCTCCAGCTCCATGATGTCGAAAACGGTTTCGATTTTCTGAAAAGAAAACAAAACGAATGTAGGTATAAAGGGGGAATGGCTTCTGGAATGGCTCCTGAATCTTACCTTCTCAGTGCATCGCTTGACAATATCCGCAGTAAAGTGCGGCAATTGCCGCAAATACGAATCCTTGCTCCACATGGCCTGGGTGACATTCTGAGCTAGTTCCATGGCAGCCACAGCCGGCGAGAGCCAGCCATTCGAGCTCAAAACGTCCACACAGGCCTGTATCAGACGAATGGCCCGGCTCAATATCTGTTCCGTATCGCCCTGCAGTTCGGGTCCCAACTGCAGTCGCGACAGATGTGCCTGGAGCAGCAAGTTGGTCTTGATATGCGGATCATTGAATCTGGGCGAAAGGAAATTTGTTAGGCATCAAAACGGATAGGGGAGTGGGAGGAGAAACTTACTTGGGTGCCGTCTCATTTGGCCCGGTCAGCTTGTTGGGCAGTCGCTGGGACAGAGTGCGCAGGACTTGCTCTTCGTGATGCCTGACCACCACATCCTCGTATTCCGCTGCCGACGAGATGATCTCCAGCAGGCCACGCACTTTGGTCTTGCTGTTCAAAGACAAACTGAAGAGTTCTGTGAGAGAGAGGAGAGACATTTTAGGTGCATTTCCCAGACAGTTTTCAGTTAGTTTTCTGCATCTTACCAATTGTCGTATAGTTGATGTAATAATAGGCCGCAATCATGCCCAGATTGAGCGGCAGGGTATCCATATCGTCCTCGACACTGATGCACTTGGACTGCTCCAGATCACTGAGTGTATTCTCCACCAGCTCCGACAGATGATCGGACAGATGGCGATGCGTGACGCCCTGGAGATTGTAGTAGTTGGGATTCTGGGTCAGTCGCCTGTAGAGGAATGTCCAGGTGAGATAGTCCACGGCATCCTGCTTGTTCTCAATCGTTTTGGTCACCACCTCGGCATTGAAGTGGTCGTGCATGCGATGATCGAGATGGCTTTCGATGGGCAGCGGCTCGTTGATGAACTTCTTGAAGAAATCCTTCTTGCTGCTCTGGCACATGAGCACGCACTTGGCATCGGCATCCTCGTTGGGCCGATTGGCCCGCCCCACCATCTGCAGCACATCCGTGATGGGGTAGTCCTCGTACGAGTGATTCTTGCCATTGTAGAACTGCGTGTCCATGATGATGATTAGATGGGCGGAGATGCTCATGCCCCAGCAGAGATCGCGCGAGACGACGGCCAGCTGCACAGCGCCCGAATCGAAGAGTTGCTCGACCAGACGATGATCCGACGAGGACAGGCCCTCGTGCAGGTAGGCCACACCTTGGGCCAGGGTCTCCTTCAGGGTCTTGTCCGTCATTCGCTCCAGGAACGGTTTGATGTCCTCCTCCTCGGCATGGAAGAAACGATTCGGCTGCAGATCGGAGGCAGCATACGTCAGGATATCGATGGCCGTGAGCCGCGCCTGCTTCCTGGAGGAGACAAACACAATCACCGGCTTGTGGGCACTGTACTTGAGGATGGCATTGTACACCGGCTTCGACATGGTGGCGATCCTCGTGGCGTTGTGCGTCACATTGAATCCCTGTATGTGCAGCTCCAGGGGAATGGGTCGCACACTGGGATGGAAATTGAAGGTGGCATTCGGATTGCAGCCCAGCCACTGGGCCACGTCCCTAGCATCGGTCAGAGAGGCGGACAGGGCCACAATACGGATCTGCTTCTCGATCTGCGAGCTTATGTACCGCATCCGGGAGCACACAATCTCCAGCACAGGACCCTCTTCGCCGCCCACCAGCTGCAGTTCGTCGACAATGAACAGATTCACCAGCTGGACGTTCTTGCGCTGCTTCCAGCGTCGCGACAGCACATCCCACTTGTCCGCCGTCGTAATCACCAGCTGGCCCTTGGCTATCAGCTTCAGGTCCGTTCCAGTTTCGCCCGTCAGCTTCACCACCTTGATGTCCAGTGCCCCGAACTTGAGATGCCAGTCGGCAAAGACCAGGTCAGCGAGCGCCTCCTCGGACACCAAGTAGACGCAGCGGGCCTCCGTTTGGGTGGTGAACAGTCGCATGATGGCAAACTCGGCGATGGTCATCTTGCCGGAACCCGTTGGAGCGCCCACAAACACATTCTCGTCGCTGTTGTAGACGGCATTGAAGACCTGCGTCTGGATGGGATTGAACTGGGGGAAGCGCTGCGCGTAGAACGATTCGAATTTCGGCTGACGCAGGGCGCTGATGGGCAACGGTTGCAGATCCAGCAGCTCCGTGGGCGGCAGATTCTTCTCGGGCAGTATCAAGTGCCTGAATGAGACGGGCAGCTGGGTTTCGGCGCCAATCCAGCGATCGGAGACGATGCGGAGAAAGTACTGCGGCGGCAGGGGCTCAAAGACGGGCACAAAGAACTTCAGCTGATGCTCGTCCTGGGCGTACTTCTGCTTCAGCAGAAAGAACTCGTGGTGCAGTATCAGTTCCGAGTCGACATCTTCGATGAGCACCCAGAAGCCCTCCGAGGCGCCATGCACCTTCTCATCCCATTGGAAGTCCGGTGTGATGGTCAGCTCCACGCGAAGGGTGCCCCGCGTGATGGGCTGTATGTGCGTGGACAGCTCCAGCTTGGGGAATTGGTGCACAAACTTGTGTATGGTCTTGCCCAGCTTCGGCACGCGTATCAGCTCGCCCAGCTCGTGCGGCTCCAGGTCGTACAGCCGCGACCAGGGGAAGTGCTTCTTCTCCAGCTTCTTGGCTATTTCGTCGGGCATCTTCTTGAACTGGCGCAGCGGTGTCATCGATTGCCACATCCTCCGGTCAATCATCTTGCACAGCGTCAGTGTTTTGTCCGCCAACTGTGCCCAGCCACGCGTCAGCACAATCTCGAAGATGGCTCGCATGAGGCGAGCAGCCGACTGTGTAATGAAGACCATGTCCGACATCAGGGCAAAGCCCTCCAGCTTCAGTTGGGAAATGTATGCCTGCAGCAGGACATTCACCTTGGCACTGTGCTCCTCGATGGACTCCTTGATGGGTATGGGCACGCGCTCCATCAGCTTCTGCAGCTCCAGCTTCTCCTCCTCCCGCACCGAGATGTGACGGAACTCCGAGGACAGCGAGAACACGCGAAACAGCTCAATCTCGCTCAGCGTCTGCTTCAGCAGCTGGTTGTACGTGAGCATCGTTTCGTGCGTGAGATAATAGTGGGATGCAATGCGTCCTAGATCGGTGACCTGAAAGTGTCCCGTCTTGCGCTCGTACTTGACCAAGCCGCTCCGCTCCAGGCAACAGGCGGCCGTGTGCAGCAGATCCGCTCGATGCTGCTCCAGCAGGGGATCCGCCTTGATGGCGTCGTGCGAGACGCCATAGAGCGTGGGATTCCGCAGCATGCGAATGTAGAGGTACGTGTAGCCCAGCCAGTTGACGGCATCCTGCAGGTGCTGCACTGTGCCGAGCACAATCTCTGCGTTGAGCATGTCCGGCAGCTTCGAGATGAACTGCGACTCGATGGGCAGCTGTTGGTTGAGCAGCGACAGGTAGAACTGCAGCTCGCTGTGATTGGTTATGAGGATGCCCTCGCCCTTGGTGTCGTACTGGGGTCGGCCGGCACGACCCAACATCTGGAGGACATCCAATGCGCTCAGCTCTACCCAGCGTCCCTTCTCCGGATTGTAGACCTGCGTGCCCTTTATGATCACCGTGTGTGCGGGCAGATTCACACCCCAGGCCAGTGTGGCCGTGGAGACGAGCACCTGGATGTGACGATCCGCAAAGAGATCCTCCACCAGGGTACGATCGACGCGCGTCATTCCGGCATGATGGATGGCAAAGCCGTAGGGCAGGAGCTCCTTCAGTTCCGAGTTCTTCACCTGTTCGGCCTCCGTGCGGAGCACCTCCATGCTGGCCGAACCCTCTCGCAGGAAGCTGCCCAAGGTGTCCTGCTCCAGGCACATGTCCCTCACCGCTCGCGCCGTCTTGCCCGTCTCCTTGCGCGAGTGGACAAACACGAGCACTTGATTACGTCCCGCATGCTCCATGGTCTTCTCGTAGACGATCTCGTTCATCACCTGGAAGCGCTTGAGCGCCTTCTTCTCCGTCACACCAATGTACTGCTGCTCCAGGGACACGGGACGATAGCTATTGTCGAAGTAGAAGAGGCCCTTGTCCGGTTTCACGCGCAGGAACGTGGCCACATCCTGGTAGTTGGGCAGCGTGGCGGATAGACCCACCAGCCGCACATCCTCCTGCGTCGTCTCAATGTTTCGAATGGTACGAGCCACCAGTGCCTCCAGCACCGGACCACGCTCATCGTGCAGCAGATGGATCTCGTCAATGATCACCAGGCGCACCAGACTGACAAATGTGCGCTCGCCCCCCTTCCGGGTGATGATGTCCCACTTCTCCGGCGTGCACACAATCACCTGGGTGGCGGCTATCTGCTCTCTGGTCAGCTGATGGTCGCCCGTCAGCTCGGACACGACCAGATTATAGCAAGCGAGTCGTCGTCCAAAGTTGCCGACCATTTCCTGCACCAAAGACTTCATTGGGGCCACATAGATGATCTTGAAGTCCTGGGTATTGATGGTGCCATCCTCGTTGATGTGCTTGCCGATCTCCCGCATCATCGTGAGCAGCGCCACATTCGTTTTACCCGCTCCGGTGGGGGCGCACAGCAGCATATTCTCGTCGCTGTCCAGGGCGGCCTTGTACAGGCGACTCTGGATGCGATTCAGCGTCTTGAAGCCCTCAAAGACGGGCTGACAGTACTTGGGCAGCTTATCGATGGGCTGCAGTTCCTCGTTGTCGTCGAAGGGTACGGCCTTGAGGGCCGGGACATGCACCTCCTCATAGCCCTTGCGCTGCTTCCTGTAGGAGCCGTCGGGCAGTTGGCAGCGCTTATTCGCCATGAAATGGGAGCCGTGGGTGAAGGCCAGCTCATCCAGCTCCAGCAGTTGACGCACGCCAGCCACCTGCCCGGCCGCCGCTGTGCCACCATCTTCGGCATCGCCCTTGCCCCGCTTATTGCCTCGCGTCTCGCCCTCCTCCTGCTCCTCCGACTTGCCCGTGTCCAGCTGGCGCAGGATCTTCGCGAGTGCCGTGTTGCCGCGCATCTTTTCGCGTATCCGCTGGCGCTCGCTGTCCGTCTGGGCGGAGGCCAGCATGGTGCAGTAGAGGATCATCTGGCGGTTCAGCTTCAGCTGCTTGATGAAGTCAAAGCAATCGTAGCCCAGCAGCAGCACCAGCTGGTTCTCGCAGTCCCGCTCGTCGGCGGCATCCTTGAGGATCTTGAGCACATCCGCCGACTTGCTCTGCGACACCATGGCATCCTTGTAGAACTTGCTCAGGCAACGCTGCAGCCAGTAGGCATCGATGTCCAGGGGATGCAGAATGCGATCTTTCTTCACATTGCTGGCAGCCTCCTCATTGGCCAGCTGTGGCGGAAGAAAACAAACACACATAGGATTATTAGTCAATCGATGCTAAAATCCGCTGATTGTATACTCACATTCTCTGCGTGCAGGGTGTGATCAATGCGCGCCTCCTCACCCTCATCGGGCACATCATCGTCCCGTATCTCGCCATACATATCGTTGTCGCTCTCCTCCTCGGACTCCTCGAACTGCACATTGATGCCGTACTGCTCGTCAATCTGCTCCTCATTGTTGGTGGTGGCTGTCAGGGCGTTTATGGCATCGTTGCCAAAGTCTGTGATCTTCTTGCCCAGGTTGACCAGCAGCGCGAATCGTTCATCTGTCACCGAGCCCAACAGGCTGTCCGTTTCCCGCTTGCGTTCGCGATCCTTGAGCCGATCATTCTTCAGAACAGCCAAGATCTCATCGGCCGCACCGCACAGGATGTCCCTGGGCTGATCGCCCAAGGCCTCTTGGATGAAACTCAGCAGCACCTCGTAGGTCTGACGCGTCTCCTGTGTCTTTGGGCGGTACACAATGCCGACCATCTCGTCAATGCCCTCGGACAGCAGAGTAGCACCCTTCATGCGCTCGAAATCGTACTGGGCCTCGTCACGCTTCTGTCGTTTCACCTTCCGCTCCTCTGTCTTTTCCGGCTTAGTGCGCTGGTACCGGTCCCCCATCCGCGTACCATCCAACTTTCCCACAAGGGAGCACACCTCGCCAGTGGCCTCATCGCGACGAGGACGCTCGATGAGTCGTACATCGGCTTGCAGCACAAGATTAGAGTTCTGAAAACACACACCAAATATGTATTAAATTATTGCAAAAATTTCATGCAAACGCTTGCCACAGACGCGACGCCGCATGGAGGGGTGAAAATTTTGTAAGATTTCCGTTTGGCACTTACCGCCTTGTACTCGTACTGCAATTGACGTGCTGCGGCATCCGCCATGACTGTTTATCGTTTCACTTAGGTTTTTAGTGCTTAAATTAACGTATTTTAGTTGTTTTTTCATAAAATCGTGAAATGGTAAAATCGTGCCGCTCAGTATGACCGCGTTTTTATCGATAAGCCCTCAGAAATATATACCGAAATATACCTTGTCATTATCAAAATATACCGTATACATACTGACGGATGCACTGATATTCCTTGATTTTGATTTTCGGTTTATTATTACTAGCTAGTCATACATGCCGAACGGCCAGCTCCCGACCCGAATGGCCTGGCTCCCGACCCGAATGCCTCAGCCTCACAGAGCCGAAGGCCCTGGGAGCTGGGCCAGAAAACTCAGCTGCGCCACTTTCGTTGTATGAACTGGCACATCTATATTCTGTATGGTTAGTAATTAAATACACTTTTATACACCGATATACCATAAATATACATTGAACTTGATTTCGATATCAAAATATCCCGTAAATGTATGTTCGGCTGCCAGTGCTGCAACACAATCAATGGAACTATCGATACTTGTCCGTCATCGAATATTTTCCCACCTATGGACTTGATTTTTCTCTTCTCGTGCTGATCGGTTTTGAATTAATGATCAAAAATAATAATAGCGTTTTACATTATTTTTGTTAATATTCGTACTGCACACTTTTCTATAAACAAATGGTTCACAATCCATGGATTTTTTTTCTGAGCTGAAACATTTACATATCTCGGTCCCGATTTATATTCTTCATCAGCGGTAACTTTCCGACCTGTCACGAATTTCGTATTGTGGGGCTTTGATTAGCACGACTTTAGGAATAGAAATCGCGTGCAGGTATCCGGTTGAAACTGATTTGGAGAGACAGAAAAAGAGAGATCATTTGAAATGCTTTCTTTATTTTAACTGCATTTTGATATAGTTTTTATGTACAAACTTTGGTGACTTATTCGCTAGCAACTTGATTCATATTCATATATATATATATATATATATATATAATTCATTCAAATCCTCGATCTTTACACATAAACAAACGCTCGGAAACGAATCGATATCGCTGTGGACGCTATGTTAAGCTAATTATCCATATAACGCTTTGGCCGAACTAACAAAATCGATCTCAAAACGATTTGATTGCTTTATTCTTATACTAAACTAGTTGCATCCCATTTTTTGTTTGTTGTTGTGGTTTTGTTTTGTTTGTATAATATTTTGTATATAATATATGTAGGTAGATCTAACGCTTATTGTACATATGTGTCCTTAATCTACGTCGAATTGCTTTTGCTTTTGCTGTGGTTCCTTCGTTTGCTCGTACGTATCGTTTCTCCATATAGGAAAAACTCTTGCCAAACAGCTTCCACTTGATTTTTCAGGTTGTGTTTTGTTTTGTTTCTTACATATTTATACACCGTTATATTGCGACGTCTTCTTGGAGTTTTGGTTTGTGTGTGTTCATTCTAAGGCAACTGGTTTAAAGGCAACTTTAATATAAATTGTTACTTCGTTTATACTAAAATTTACATCATGAGCTTTATCAACATTAATCTCTAATTTAATCGACTCTATAGCAAATTTACAAAAGTTCGATATGTGTGTTAGTATTTTGTTTATGTTTCAGCGGAGGGTTGTGTGTGGGTGGTGTCAAAGTGCAAGTGCATGTGAGGTTGTTAAAATCAATGTACAAAAAATACACAAAAAAAAACAACTTTAAAAAAAAAATCGAAAAAAACAAATTTGAATAGCGAATTTAATATACCCTACCCCGCATACTCTTGGAGTATCGGGTATTTAAAAAGCATTAGAAAAATGTTATTGTATTAGATTTATTTGCAGTTAATCGATCCTTTTACGATGATAAATTAAATAAAACAAAAACAAAGCTAATAAAATGAACATTCACAATTATTAACAAAAACAAAAAACAATTAAAATCGAGAAATTAGGAGGTGACCACTCTGTTTTGCACACGCTTCAAACCGATAGCACCGATTTCGTGGACGAAGTCGCAGATTCCATCCTTTCACTGAAATCAGTATTACAAACGACAATTAGTTTTTTTTAGTATACAAACTGTTGCCAAATCCATCAGAAGGAGGACAAGTAAAGGTCGAAGATATTGCAAACACGAAGAGGACAACACACTTAAAATATTAGCAAATCAAGAGCAGTACAAGTCCTTATACTGATTATCATTGGCAACGTTTGAACATACATATATGTACGATGATGATGATACCTATAATGATGATGATGGTTATTGAGGTATTGATGATGATAGTGTGTGGGAATATGTTTAACGAACTTAGGTGAAATTTAGCATGTAGATTTATGTAGTTGTAGCTTGGGAGGTCGTTGGATGATGTCTATGTGGTGTGGTTGTGTCGTTATCAATGTTTGTTGACCTTAACGAATAACTATATAACTGATTAACTGATTAATGCTTTTAGTGATTGTTACATTCTCTGGTATCGCATCTAAATTGATCTTAGGATCCCCGCTTGAACAAGAAGCGGCCTAGCGTACGATTCCCGATTTATTATTGAATTTTGTAATTACAATTAGGCTATTTAAAAATTAACTAGCACAACATATCGCATATAGAATATATTTGTATAAGGATAGTTGCCCGGTTTAACTCTCATCTCCTCTCCCTACCATTTTGCGGTTTGCGTTAGCCCTTATCCGCACAAATAGTTGGCAAAGAGGTGTCCCAACTTATGTCCTAAGGTTTTCTATTATCTATTATAGTATATAACAAATCATGAAAGGATCTTTGGTGCTCCTTGCGGATCCTTCGACTCTTGCTTTCAGTGTTAGTCCGTGTGTTGGTGTGTGTGGGTTGTTGTGTGGCAGTTAGACAGTTGCTACACGCTGCGGCCTCGCCCTAGTTGCCCTCGTTGTTCTGCTACCTGTCCTCATCTGTCGTCAGCTGTTCAGTTGCCTCCTGGAGCCAGACGCCCACTGCATGGTCGCCGCCAGCACCGCTTGCAGTTGGCGCTCCTCCGCATCCGTATCCGCATCATCATCGTCATCCAGCACCTCCACGACACTACCCGTCGCCTCTCCTATGCGAAACCACCGACCGATGGCGCGACGTCATTCGAACACGTACCGCTGGCGCAGCGCACGCGCCCTCTCTGGCTGGACGCGCGTTGGGGGTCTCGGCACCTTGGGCGGCCGCTGCTTTCGCGCCTTCGGTCGGGGATATATCTGAGGCAGCACGATTTCATCCTCGTCAAGGATCTCGGATTTAATATGCGGTAAACAGTATACGCGACGATGTTCCTTGAAGCGATTCTTTAGCACCTGCTGGACACCGTTGATGAGGAGGCAGAAGTGTCGCCAGCTGCCCCGCGATTTTTGCCGAGAAACTTGCGTCTTTCCAAAGCCGTAGAGATTCTCATCGTCACGCTTCTTACGGCCCATTTTGGGGGCTTTCGTGGCGGGCTCTGGGCGTGCGATTCGGGTTGCTATTGATGTCTTGGTGGTGCTGGTTGTGGGGGGTATCGGTACGTCTGCCGGTGGCGGCAGTTGTTGCATCAGCAGGTACAGACCGACCTTGCTGTCCTCCGCGTCTGTGATGGCTTCATTCATTACAACAGGCGTAAGTAAATGGGTCTCGGTTCGCCGTTGCTGGCGTGTTCTTGGCCGTCTGATTGTTAGCTCCTCGGCTTCTGTTTTTGGTGCAAGAGCAACTGGAGCAAGCGACGGCGGCGGCGGCGGCAACATTGCGTTGGACGTCTCCTCCAAGGGCACTGGCAGTGGCAGCTCCCCATAATATTGGGAGGGCAGGTGTAGGGGCGGCAGATTCTCATCGAAGCCCAAGAAATCACTTTCAGAGTTGATTTCAATGCGTTCCCTAAAGTCTTCGTCGTCGGATAGCGGCGGTGATGCTGTGGGGCGAATCAAGAACGATTCGCTCGTCGCCGCGATAGCCTGCACGGGCTCGTGGAGGAGGGTGATTCCCTCGTCCTCATCCTCAGCCGCATCTGCGGGCAACATACCTGGTGTCGACTTCTCCAAGGTATCATCGTCTTCATTAACCACCTCCTCCTCGGGCTCATCCACATGCTCCACCTCAGGCTCCTGCTCCTCCTTATGTTCCTCCTGCTGGAGTTGGGGTGGTACAATGATATCAACGTCCAAGTCTCCACCTCCACCAGACTGCACCCAGTCGCTCGCCAATATATCATCCAGTTGCGGACGGTCGGCGGGATCGGGCTGCATGCACCACTCTACCAGCTCGCGGAATTCCGGGCTGGCACTTACCCAGAGCTTGGATTCATGATTGAACGTCTCGCTCTGCATGCGTCTACGTAACTGGTGATGAATCTCCGGAGAGTGCTCCTTGTCCTCCTGATCCTGGCGATAGGGCGGATGGCCCACCCGCATCGTGTACAGCGTCGCGCCAAGCCCGTAGACATCGACGGCCGGCGTATATGTGACCATATTGGGATCCTGGAGCATCTCTGGCGGTGCATAGTCCAGTGTATAGCGCGGCTTGTCCTGCCAGCTCGTGAAGCTGCTGCTGTAACTGTGGACACCCGGAAGGAGAAGATAAGATTATGATGAAATGAGAATAAATAAAGGCAAGACGCAAGAGTGAGGCACCCACCAGGCACTGCCAAAGTCAACCAGCTTCACCACCATATCATCGCGACTCTCAAAGACAACGTTCTCGGGCTTTACGTCACCGTGTATGAACTTCTTGGAGTGGATGAAGCGCACCGCCTCCAGAATCTGACGGAAGAGCTCACGGCAGGTCCGCTCGTTCAGGGCATTGCGTTTGATGGGCGCCGAAAGCTCCTCGCCGACAAGGAACTCCGTGAGTATCCATGTATCGCATTTGTCACGGAACGTGCCCAGATATTGGACAATATTCTGATGGGCATCATCGTCCATGGCACAGGATGTCAGGGCGTCCACCTCCGATGCACGAAACTTTGAGAGTGGGACAACCTTGACCATGAATATCATATCGTTGGTGTTGTCCACGGCAAAGTAGCAGGTACCGTAGGATCCACCAGCAGTGCGGCTGCCCAGATCCAGATCCTGCGGTCTTGATGGCATATTCTGGTGATGGGAAAAACAAGAGATTAGCAATAGCTTGCATGTGGGAGAGAGAGAGACTTTCAACCGACCAGTAATCCTTTATTGCAGTACTCAATGTGACAGTTGTTGTCCCTGCGCATTTGTTCCAAGTGCTCGGGAGCCACATAGGTGTATCCCCGGAAAAGGCGAATGCGACTGGGGGGTGCATCGCATTCGATGTCCTCCGGCAGCTGGTCGGTGAACTCGTTGCTGAAGTTCTGGACGTCATCCTCGGATGTGAGGACGGGCTTGTAGGGCGCCTTGCGACGCTTGGCGCGCAGATCGTGCCAGTTGATGCCATGGAAGAAGGGATGCTGCTTGATCTCTTTGGCATCGCGTTCGTTCTTGCCCAGGCGCAGCTTGGGGTTCTTCTCCAGCATTTTCAACACAAAGTCTTTGGCAGCCGCGCTGAACGATGACGGGATCTGCGGCTGATCCCTTTGTATGCGCCTTGAGATCTCCGACTGTTGACTCTGGCCATCAGAGGTGGCAAAGGGTGATCCTCCGGTGAGCAGTTCAAAGGTCAGAACACCCACAGACCACCAATCGACGGCACTGTCGTGACCCGGCGGCCCAGTGCGTATGATCTCCGGGGCCATGTACTCCAGGGTGCCACAGAAGCTGTGCGCCCGGTGCTCATTCTCCTCCGATAGTATCTTCGATAGCCCAAAGTCGGACAGGACAATGTGTCCGTCTCCATCCAGCAGGATATTCTCGAGCTTTATGTCGCGATAGATGATGCCCAGCTGATGCAGTTGCTCCAGAGCCAGCACCACCTCGGCAATATAGACGCGCACACGCGGCTCATCAAAGTGCTCGGCATGGTACAAATGTGTAAACAGTTCCCCGCCCTTGGCAAAGTCTGCAAAAACATTGGCATTATGGTAATTTTAATTTGGTCAGCATATAGCAGTGATCATCTTGATCTTACCGAGAACCAGATACAGCTTCGATGTTGACTGGAAGGCATAGTGGAGGCCAACCAGGAAGGGGCTGCGCTGTACGGCTTCCAGTACCTGAAAATGGAGGCAAGAGTTAGGGGGGCTACAGTAAACACGAGATCAGTCCATCGAAAAATGCAATCTTGGCAATATTTGTTTTCGCTTCTCTTTTGTGCCTCATATTTCGCTACTTTAGGTACTTCCCAAATGCCAGCTGCTGTGTGTGCGTGTGCGTACGTGCACTTCATTGCAGCTGCGCTCACGTTTAGACAGTGCTCAAGTTTACAGCAAAAGAGAGAAAGAGTGTGCATCGGAATGTATGTGTGTGTGTGTGTGTGGGTGTGTGGGTGGGTGTGGGTGGCAGATGGATAACTAAAACAGTTAACAGTTACTTTAGCACGAATTCATTTCATTTATAAATGATTTTCGTTTTCATTTTTGGCGTTGTCTTTCTCTTTCCGTTTTCAATTGTAGGGAAGCGAACCAAAACTTTCACATTTCAGGTTTTGTTCCTTTCTATTTTGGCCAAATTGTAGATAGCCGGCTATCTGGTTGCCGGGCTATGGGCTATAACTGGGTTAGTGGCACAGAGGCATTGGTACCTTGAAAAAACGAGTGCTCCCGCCTACACCCCCACGGCGTCAAGCGTCTGTCTGTCGGGCTGTCGGCCATCAGTGGGAGGGAGAAACGTAAATAGCACAGAAAACCAGGCAGGCGACAGCAAAGCAGGGCAGGCAGCTACCGCCGTTGCCTGCCCAATTGTAAATTTGTTCAATTTATCTGTCAGACAATGCGCTGCTTATCTCGGCTGCTCGTGCTCTCACTCGCTCGCTCGCTTCCTCCCTCCCTCGCGCTACACCTGTTTGCAGTTATTTAACGAATTTTTGTTATTTTTTTTCTTTTCGGTTTCTATTTTCATTGATTTACTACGACTCTCTCAATGTCGCCAACAAAACCGGTTGCAATAGCCGTAGCCAGGCAACAACTTCCACTACTGATCGAAGCTCTCTCTCTCATACTCTCTTCCTATCTCAAGCTCACTCCAGCCAGCACCGCTCTCCCCACTGTGGAGAGTACCTGAAACAGGTTTGGGTGCCTCACCTTCTACCTAATTTACCTTGCCTCTTATGTTCGCTGCCTAGCTACATATCTTCTCTTTCTCTCTCTCTCTCTCTCTTTCTGCATTACTCCGTTAGCTTTGTGCCGGTGCAACAAGAACAAGTCGGAATGTGGGTCACAAGAAGATTCACGTCGATTCGTGTCTTTTCCTCCTTGTTGTGCTTCCTCGTTTACTCTTTCTCTACTCCTCTCTTCTTTCTTGATTTGCTACTGGAAACTGTACGTGTGCAGCTGAAGGTTGTCTCTGCTCTGTCTTACCAGAGCTGCACTTTTATTGAAGAAAATAAGTTCTGCAGCAGTGATTGCAAAACAGCTCGCCGTCAGGGGCAACGGTAAAAAGGCAACGGTACAAATAAACCGAAAAATAAAAACAATCGAAAAGAATCACTGCGATTGCACACGTACCCCTCAACCCGCTCTTCTCTTTGTTTGCTGTGATTAAAAGGGTTTTACTCTCCACTCATACCCCCTTCTCCCCGCCCATCGTTAAGTACTTACCACACGCTCTGTTTTGGTGTGTTCGGCCGTTTTACGCTTCTGCACTACGGTTATCTTGTTCAGGACCTTCATGGCATACAACTGACCCGCATCGTGACGGGTCAGTTTTCGTACAAGGAAAACTCGTCCATACGCTGTATTAAGAATTGGAAAAGTTAGACTAACTTTAGAGTTTACATATAAAAAGATAAACTTACCGCCAGTACCCAGAACACGTATTATTTTAAAGTCGACTAGACTCACTGCCTCTTCACTGTATAATTTAACTGTGTGTGGGAAATACAATATGGATAAATATTTGGATTTAATTAGATTCATAAACAAAAGCATATCAATTTCCGAACATGACCAAGTTTCCACTCATCTCACAGTTATATGTGCCGAAATATCTAAATCGAGTTGAAGGGGGCGAATATTTATATTTATTTTTTTCTTCTTAAACAAAAGGGGTTCTAATCTCTCAGCGAGCAGTGTATCGCATTTTAGTTTTACCTACAGGGCAGCGCACGTGCGTGACACTTGATTCACTTAATTTTAGTGTACGACTAGTATACGACACCTAACTGTAAACATGTGCGAATGATGCGAAAGAGAGACGAAAGCAGGCAATAGAAATAGATTCAGTGCTTTGGTACTCTCGTCTCTGCGTTTGTACGGCTCCGAATGAAACTGGCAATTTCATAAGGATAAGCAGCAGGTGGCTGGCTGGCTGTTGGGGGGAGGGGGATTTGAAATGAAAGATGACCAAAGCCTGCGCAACTGCCAAACCCCAATGCCAAGCAAAGAAGTTCACCATCTCTCTCGCCTTTCGAATGCTCTCTCTCTCTCTCTCAATATTCTTCTCGTCCAGACACTTTCAATATGTACATATGTATGTACATGTAGGCTGAGGCAATAACGGTTCATTGGCCTGTCCGTCGTCTCGCCAAAATGGGTAGAATTTACGATTACTTCGTGGCCCAGAACCATGCCTTCTTTTTGATGTCTTGGGATTACACTTATTTCATAAAATGTCGCCAAGAGAGTACTGTACATAAGCTCTCTATTCCATGTACATAGGTCTAAGACCTGCTCCTCTATATGTGTAGCAGTCTCCCACTCTCCTATTAAATGTGGTAGCTTGTCCTTGAACCTACTTGACCTTCGGAGTGAATGCTTTTTCTCAACGGCCGTTTGAATCATTGAATAGATCTCAGCCGTCGAGTCCATTCAACCCTTCCCTTGTGTTACAAATGTTCTACCAAAATTTCGAATTGTTGTGAAATCTGCGTCACAGTGACACAAACTTCGTAAGAGGTTAATGGAACCGCCTTGCGTTGGAACAAACCTGTTGTTTTATTTGAAAATACAAGTTGCTAACAGCGAATAAAGGTAATTTACACGAAACACAAGCACAACACAGCACTCTGAATTCCTTGAGGGTACAATAACCTAAAAACACCCGAGAGCCTGAGTGGGAGGGCGAATTGCGATAAGCAACTTATTCAACGGAATTATTGATTCAACAAGAACTGGGCAAAAAAAAAAACGTGTGAAAATATGAGATGGCATCCACAAACTAGAGGGAAACTTGAGGACTCCCACAAAGCTGAGGCAAGAACTTGAAACTACATGTAAACAATATGTGGCAGTACTGGTACCATACACCTCTTGCGATAACTAATATTTGTATAAACAAATTTCAATGTCAAAATGTTTCCACGGAATAAAAGATCAATGCTAATCATTCTTCAAACATGAATTTATATTCGCGATAAGACTTTATTGATTCACCGTATTATACTTTGAATCTGTAGTTTATTTCACACAGAATTATAATCTTAAATTTGGGAACACTTATTTAACAAATTTATACAAGTATTTTTTTGTGCATCTATGTATGTACATTTGTACAAATGTATGTATCTTGAAACCGCAATGTTTAACCGCAGCTGGCCTTGATATGCAAAATATACATACATATGTATGTATGTACTTAGCAGGGTTTTTAAACTGTATAACCACACAGAATGTTTTTCTCTCATCGTGTTCTAGGCAAAGTTTAATGAACGCAAAGCCGAAAAAAGAAAAGACAATGACAATCGAGCAACAAGTAGAAATGTTCGTTCGTATGCTTTCCCCCCCCCCACCCACCAGCAAATATTTCTCCAAAATTCTATACATAATGCACTTCTGTTAGACAGCTGTGTACGTATGTTAACAGAACGGGTGCGGTGCTGTACAGAGCACCACTGAGAGGCAGAGAGCGGCGATAGCATTCTCTACTGATCACGTAGGGGTGTGTGAAGAGAGCATTATTTTTGTATCGAACTGCCGGAAGGAGTTGGGTGGGGGTGCAAAGATAAGCACTAGAGGGGAATGTTTAAACATGAAACAACTCAAATAACGATTACAGGCAATTATCCACAAAGGCTAACGGGTTCTATAGCTGATATTCGAGGAGCTGCATTGCCAAGTTCAAGTAAATAAATTGCTTACTACTGCACCCTGCAACCATCCTCCTCCCAACACCGACCCAATCTCACGTTTATGCAAACAAGCATGAATACACACACACACACAAACATAAACGCACGAGCACACGCATAGCCACGAGTGCATGCCCAAGATGTACGAATATAGGGTGAGGCGTTACCGAAATGCCGCTCCATCTTTTGCTCTCTCTATGTTTACCACTACTATTCTCTACCATTGCATGGGAGAGCTCTCTCTCTAGGTATGCCTCACCGCTTAATAAATGCACCTTGTGCATGTCGATGTCGAAAAGCGAACCACAGTGGTATGGAAACTTTCGCTTTCTCAATCGCTGAGAAATTCAAAATTCCAAAAACTAGTGACACATACTGCGATAGAAATTGGTGCGAAGAACTCCTGGGAACGAATAATGAATTGGTCAACCAGCTATGTACATTCATTCCATCGCATCAATCGATTCCACTGTGCCTGCCGAATTTTCCATTGTCTGCCCACATTCCCCTCTCCACGTAAATGTTGTTGTGGAGAGGTTTCGGTCAGTAGAATTAACACCCAACGCCCAAAAAGGCATTCGCATGCACCGCCCCCGAAGGCAAGGGGGCGGAGGAGCTGTACGCACAGGGTCGACGGTTAGTAGGTAATTGTGTCAAGGTTAAATGCATGTGCTCCACTTGCAAAAGGACACCAAAGGCCGCTCGGCATTGACCAAGTTGCAACGGAAGCGCAGCCACCCACACCCCCCACCCTTTACGCTCACACAGAGCTTCTTTGGCTAACTAACCCTTTGTTTTCCTCCGATGAATGAAATATGAATACAGTAAAAGTTCCCTAGGTTTAATCTTAAATTGTGACCTTGCCAACAAAAATTGATAATAAAATAATTTGGCTTAGAACATGTATTATTTCTTCTTGCTGATAACGAATTTGGACATTTTATGAGTTTGATTTAGTGAGATTTCAAACGTATTGAACTTTGGCAACCTTGAGCCCAGAGATGGGTAAACTGGATGTTGGAAACTTAAATGAAATTTCCCCCGACTCACCGTAGGACCGCAGATCTGTCACGGATTCCAGGTCCCTTTGATGCGCCTCGTTGTTAAGATCCAGCGGCGTGCTGTTGCTGGTCGGGATGCCAAAGTTGGGTGATGCGGCTGCTGCTGCTGCTGCCGCTTCCGCTGCTGCGGCTGCCGCTTCTGCTGCCGCCGCTGCTGCTGCCGCTGCTGCAGCTATGTTCTTCGGATTAATGTTCTTTAGCTGCAGCTTTGTCGTTGGGGTAGAGGCTGTGTCGTTCACCAGAATCTCATCCTCCACTTCCACAACGTCAGGCTCCTCTTCCTCCTCCTCTGTGTCCCTGTCAAAGTAGTCTGCCGGCTCGTTCTCCTCGCTCTCTGCATCGGAAATGCACACCACCTCCGACTCATTGGGTGCGGGTGACGGCGGCGAGGGCGGTGTGGGTGGCGACATGGTGTCACGGTAATTGTAGTCTTGTTTTTTCGCTGTTGCTGCTGCTGCCGCCGCCGCTGACGCTTTTGGGGGCGATGGCGATGGGGTGTTATTGGCACTGGTGGCCTTCTTGTTGTTGTTGTGTTGACCATTGGTCACATTAATGTTTTTGCTGTTGCTGTTATTATTATTGTTGTTGTTGCTGCAGGCAATGTACCTTTTGTTGTTGGTCCTCGTGGTGGAGACGGCCTTCTCGGTCGCGCTCACCGGATTCTGTTGCTTCAGTTTGGGCCTCTTGCTGTCGCCGTTGGTCAGGACGGGCGACTTGCCAGCCTTGCTGGCCCGCCTGCGCTTGCCGCCACCATTTGTGGCATGGCCATTCGTGCGATGCTCTTCATTGGCATCTTCTGAGGCAGTAATCAACGCCGCCGCCACCACGGCCGCCTTGCGACGCGACTCTCGGCCGCTGGGCTTTAAGTTGCCCACCATCTCAGCCGGCTGCTTCTGCAGGCGACTACTCATATCCACGGCTTGACTGGGACCTGGGATGCTGGCGTCGCGTTCTAGTTGGTCCGTTTTCTCTACGTATTCCCTTACGTAGGCAACAAGTTGTAAACAATTGAACAATTCTAACAGTAACAACAACTTAAGACGTCCAGTAGCCGACTATCATGTCGCATTGTTGGTCTGCAAGATGAGAGAAAATAAAAAATTATAGTTTTAGTCGTCGAGTGTGGGGAAATCCAAAATATTTTGTGGTGTACAGTAGACACTGTCATAGAATCTATTTGCGTCGCATTTAGGTGATATTCACCGTAGGCCCCCACATGCCATGCCATGCCCAAGACTATTCCCCTTCCGCATCCCACAATATGGTACAGTTTCAGCACACTTGCACGCATTTGTTCTGCTAAATAATTACAATTGGAGACAGAGTTAATGGCAGTGTAACGAAAAAGAAGCCCCCCCAGCTCCGACACTCTCTCACCACACAAGAACAATAAGAATCTAAAATAATATTTGCAGACGGATGGGACAGGAGACACTTGACAGAACTGTGGGGTTGGGAGGGGGAGTGTTGGATTATGCGTGGGGCTGGGCAATATGCAACACTGATGATATTGCAGGGCAATTTTTGCAGCACTGGTGGGGGCTTAAATATTATTCAACAATTTAATGCTGCGTTTGCTTTAATCACAATCTTTAGCGGAGTGCTGCTAAAGTTGCCTCCCCCCACCTCCTCTTCAGTTTCCACATTTTACTTTTCACACTCACACGCTGGCATTCCTCGGTATCGGCGGTTCCAGGGGACGCGTTTTGTTTTCGTCTGCTATCTCCGATCGCTTGCTGCGTTGCTGCTGGCCGATGGCTGGGACGCTCAAGGATATGTCTCACTGTTTTTCCACTCGAGATACACCAACGAAATTATTATTTATTAAATATCTCTCGTTTTAGATGTGTAGTTTTTTACACGCGAACAAGGTTTTTACCGCCGCTTTCTACTTCTCATTCACGCGCACACACACACACACTGACGCGCGGGACGCTCTCCGCCATCTGCTTTACGCTCTCATTCGTGGGACACTTATTAGCTACAGCCACCTTGAGCGCTGCCACAGAACACAATTAGTCCACGGATTAATGGGTTCTTCAAGCACTCTAATACCCACTAGTGGCCCACAAAAACCGCGCACAAACTGCTATTATTTAGTGGAATATTCCACTTATTTTTTTTCAGACCACGGCGCGACCGACTGCAGAAATTTTCCTTTTGCGTTTGTGTCATACGTGTGTGGGAAAACGCCAAACTGCGGCAAAGAGTGCTGTCAAATGTTAGTACTGTGCGAATTACACAGCACTAGCACGGTTCAGTAACATACTATCGATATTATTGATGTGCCATCCCTATTGCAGAGAATAATAAAGAAAACAAACACTTTTAGTAATGTTTAATTTGAAATGAATATGTTAATATTTGACCATAATCTCGTCCAGACGCTTGCGCTCCAAGTCGGGCACCTTGCAATCGTCTGTCGGATAGCCCACAGCCAGGAGTATGAGTAGTTTTTCGTTGCCAGGTCGCTGCAGCAGCTCTCTCAGGGCTGGGCCACAGTTTAGGGGAGTTGTGACCAGCGATGATAGGCCCGCCGCCTGGAGAGCGCACAGCAGGATCCCGGCAGAAATGGACGTGGAGATTTCATTGTAATAGTGCGTTTTCCGTCGCCCCTCCTTGGTGGTGCCGTAGGTCTGCTTAAAGATCAGGATCAGATATGGTGCATCCGTCAGATACGGCTTCACATGGTTTGTTTGGAGCGGTCGCAAGTCCGTGACCCACTGCGGGTGCATGCGCTTTTTGTAATTGATCTGCTCCTCGTGCTCCACAATCTCACGCACGGATTGCTTAACTGCAGCCTCCTCCACCACGCAAAATGTCCAGGGCTCTGTGTGGGCTCCACTCGGAGCTGTTCCAGCCGCCCTTATGCAGTCCTCAATGACGCTGAGGCTGGGCTTGGGCCAGGCCCTGAACGAACGGATGCTGCGACGTCCACGCACCAGTTCGTGGAACCGTTGGGCGCCATTGGGATTGAGTGTCTGCCCAGGAACGAACTGCACATGCGGCTTCTGCTCCAGCGCGGGCTGCAGGTCGTCGTCAGCTTCCTCTTCGAATTCAGCTGCAAGCCAAATAAATTGAATCAAGAAGCAAATTAACAATTTAACAGGAAAATACTTGCTACATCCTCATCCCTGGCAACACTATGTTGCTGGGAGCACTCCTTCCGCTTGTGAAAGACGTATTTGACGGCCATAACGAGGAGAAGGCCTAGCAGACAACTTGGCCAGTGCTGCAGCAGCTTGGAGCTGTTCAGAAATGCTTCCACTTCCATCAAGAGCGATTTTGTATCTGCCGTACGCTCGATGGTGAGAAAACAGACGCTTATCTGCCGTAAGTGGGTCAGGGTTCTTGCTGATAGCGCCGAATGGCGATGGATCAGTGAGATCAGTTTGCGGGCCGACGGCAGAACTGACAGGCGCACGGGCGTGCTGCTCCGCCCTTCTGTCCTGGCACTGCCGATGCTCTTCGCGGGGCACTTTGACTGGCCGGGATATTCTTCAGCGGCGAGGCGGCGGTGACTGCGAAGAGCGTGGTCCGTTGCCGATCGGTGTGCCCTTCAGGTGGACCAGCTGGCGCTTGTGCACCTCCCGCAGTATTTCGATGATGCGCCACTTGGCATCGAAGTAAATGAAATCCGGCGCACAAGTCAGTTCTGTGCGAATCATGTCGCAGAGCATCTGCACCTGTTGGGCATTCCCACACGCTGGTTCTGTGGGTGAGCTGCTGGTCTGGGCCTGAGGTGCAGCCAAAGGGCATGGGACATCACGTGGACAGGCCCGCGGTCCACTAGGTCTCCGCTCCTGCCGTACGTCTTGGTCGGGCGGGGCAGGTGGGTTGGTGCTGGAGCGACGGGATAGGTCTGTGACCTCCTTCTCATTTTCGGTGGAGTAGTATGAGGATTCAAAGGACATTTTAGATTCTGGCACTTTCTGGGGCTGGTTCTGAGTGACTTGAAGTGGTTTTGGCGGAGAATTCCGTTTCTGTGTGGACGGAGAGAAGGTAACTTGCCCATCCGCATCCACTACCGAATCGTCCGGGGCCTGCTGCTCCCCTTTTTTCTTGGCATCCTCCTGCTTCCCCTTTTGCTTCTTCTCCTTCTCCTTCTTGAGGGACCTTTCGCTGGGTTTCTTTTCTGTTTTGCGCCTCTTGCACTTTGGAAAGCAACCACACGGCGAGAAGGGGCTGGCCGCCAGATTGGCCATCTTGCTGCGCAGCATCTCGTTGGCGGCCAGCGTATTCTTCAGATCCGTCGTAGATGGCTTCTTGTGCGATATCATGCTGGAGGAGGAGCTGGACATGTGCGGTGAGGAGCTTTTGGGCAGCCCCATGTCGCTGGAGCTGCGCGGCCGTTTCTTGTCAAAGTTGATGCACAGATAGGGCACCAGGAAGAGGAACTCGTTGTAGTACTGGATGGACGGGGTCATAATATCCCCGTAGTTGCGGCAGGCGCTCTCGATGATGGTGTACTCGCGCTCAAAGAGGTTCTTCAGCTCCTCCAGATAGCCGCGCAGGTCGTTGCTGGTGTGGCCGGGAAAGGAGCGGGTCATGTCGATGTAGCAGTCCTCGTCGATCTCCTTGTTGCCGTAGTACGAGTTCTTCGGATTGTAGAGATTGTCGTGCTTGCAGTAGAGCCGGATGAGCTTGCGAATGTCCTGCTCCTCCATTGGAATGCTGGGGTTGGTTTTAAGTCGCTTAATCTTGGCCTGCTTCAGAGATTTGCGCTGCTTGCGCAGCTCCTTGGACTCTTTTCTGCGCCAGAGAAACGACAGGAAGCGTTTCTTGGGGCTATCTTTGGTCATCTGGGAAACGGAGCTGGACGAGGCTTTGCCAGCGGCTGGTATCGAGTTTCGCGAATCAGTGTGTTGGCTGCGGTTCTCGGCGCTTGTGCTGGACCTCGACATCGCTCGCATTTCTCTCATCCTGCAAATTGAATCGGAACGCTTGAAACAGCATCTCTTGTGTTTTCGTTCCATGCTTCGCTATCTGGCGCTGCAGCAGGTACGTGTTGGAACTGGCGGGTTGTTCGGGCTCAAAAGTCTTCAAAGGTAGCAGCATATTACTTGAATTTATTTAGTTTTGTGACATTCTTTAAATGAAAATGTAATGTTGAATTTTGGCTATTGTCATTTTTAAATATTTACTACATAAAACAGAATGTAGCCCTGATCAGCTGTCAGTCTGGGGCGTTGTTCAACACTACCAAAGAGAGCTGTCAGCAAACGAGAGAGAGAGAGAGAGAGAGGAGAGAGAGAGAGACCAAAACAACTAAAATAAGTTACGTGAAATTATAAATAAAAAATAAGGAAATAAGCGTTCAGCCGTGGCCCAACCATAAGCGACAGTATCCCCAAACGTTCAACAGTCCCGCTGGCTCTGTTCTAGCTGTCGTTCAATACAGTTTCGACTGCCTGCCATGTGACGTTTATACGCTCCAGGGCCCCAAAAATCTTCCATCAGAATCGTTTCGATCCGTGCGGGGGTGCTAATTGGCGGAAGAGTTCAATTCAATTAATTACATACAAGCAGAAAAATCCCCATTTCAACCTATCACAAAATCAAAATTCAATCCGATACGCAGTCAACAGTTGGAAGTAATGTTGAAAATAAAAGTGCAATAAATCAATGGAACAGGCGGAAGCAGCAGCAGCAGCAGCACTGGAAAAACGGAAGCAGCGATAGCAACAAAGAGAGCAAGACTTAACGGCACTGGCGCTGTAACGGTACACGGGAAAGACAAAAAATTCTACATTTTACGGGGATTTATTTGGCGACTAAATCGCGATAACGAAAATGGACGAAGTCTTCAGCCTGCACATGGAAAAGCTGGACGTCTACGACGGTTAGTACACACATACACAGATAATGCTTAGAAGTAGGTGAATAGTATAAAGTAAATTAAAAGCAATTGCTCGTTGGTCATGTTGCTACGCTACGATCTAACTGCTGGAATCATCGTCGTCATCCCCGTCGTCATCGGCAGAGTCCGGGGCACCCAAAATCTCCTGTATGATGCGATGATGATCCTCGGTCTTCTCGCCCTGTATGATCAGTTCCCGCAGCGTGGCAATGTGCTTCTTTCCCGACTTGATCTTCGTCTTGAGCTGTTCGTTCTCCCGTTTCAACTTATCGATGCGCAGCTTGCGCTCCTCGGCCGACTTCTTTAACTTCTCGCGTGTGCGCTGCACTGCCTACAGAAACGAAACAAGAAACAAGACAAATCAATAAGTTATCGTGTGTGGCTATTTTTGGGAGATCTAGGCTAGCAACATGTTTTCCTCCGCAAGCGTGCCCACCACTCGTATCTTTACATGCCACTTACCTCATTGTTCTTTTTTCTTTTCATTTTGTATGCGGGATCATCGGATTGCGGACTCTGCGGACTCTCCCCATCTTTGCTGCTCGACGCTGCCGCCGCCGCAGTCCTCCTTCTGGCTGGCATACTCTCCGTAATTATTTTAATTTGTATTTAGTTCAATTCGAGTCGTGTGCGAGCTGCTGGGGCTGGACAATTGTAGCTCCAACAATCAGCGGAGCGTGTTGTTGTGAAATTACAGCGCGAACGATGTTACCAAAGAGGAGACGGAAAACAGATGGTTGCTCTTGAGCGAGTGTTGGAAAATGCGCAGTCGCAATATTGCACATCGGACAATAAGTTTACGGTATTATAAAATTAAATCAATTAAATTAGCAACAATACACCAGATTTAAATAGCGTAGCCTCAACCCTCCAACACCCACACAATGCCAGCAAAGATTTCCGTTTGCTCAGAATTTGTAGCCTTATTATTTATTAAATGTTAATACAATTTATTTGTAAAGACTGATTTCTTGTATGTAGCTGCGTAAGATCAAGCGTCTAATGCAATTAAAACTAAACAAAATGTAATACGTAATAGTTAATAAATGTTTTAAGCAAGATTTTTAATTATAATTAAACATCGGTTCAACGTTGTGTGATAACAATCATCGGCACGGCTAATCTGCACACGTTTACCAGCACTAGACTGATTTATTTGCAACCCGGCGTATTTTGCATTTCAACTTGCCAACAATGTCTTCGCCAGCACCAAAGTCGCCGGAATTGTCCGATAAAAGCAAGAAATATGATAGACAAATCAGGTAACAGTAACAGTCATTGAAGCAAACCCAACTGACACTCATTTAATCTACGTTGTGCAGGCTTTGGGGCGAGCATGGACAGACGCTGCTGGAGGCGGCGACCATTTGCCTGGTGAACGTGACCGCCGTTGGCTGTGAGACAGCCAAGGGGCTTGTGCTGCCGGGTATCGGGGGATTTACGGTGGCCGATGGCAGCACTGTCAAGGAGGAGGATCTGGGCAACAAGTAAGTGCAACATATTATTGGCCAGAATGCAGCCTAACGCGTCTCTGTCTTCAGCTTCTTCCTGGACGCCAGCTACATTGGCAAATCGAAGGCGTTGGCATGCAAACAGCTGCTGCAGGAGCTCAATCCCGACGTCAACGGCGACTATGTGGATGAAAGTGTAGACTACCTGCTGGACAATCGTCCGAATTTCTTCGACAGCTTTGACCTGGTCATTGCCTCGAACCTGAATGAGAAAGCCTTGCTGTTGCTTTCGAACCGCCTGTGGGAGTCGAATGTGCCGCTGCTGTATTGCCGTTCGCTGGGCATGATGGGCACCATACGCCTCCAGATACGTGAGCATTGCATTGTGGAGGCCCATCCGGACAATCCTCAGTTCGACTTGCGTCTGGAGCAACCGTTCAAGGCACTGCGCGAGCATCTGGAGGGCACAGAGGTAACCAGCAAGGTGCCCTGGCTGCTGGTGCTCTACAAATATCTCAGACTCTGGCAGAAGGAGCAGCCGGATGGTCACGAGACGCCCAAAAACTACAAGGAGAAGAACCAATTGCGTGAAGTAATCAGAACAGAGATGAAGGCAGATGAGGAGAACTACGAGGAGGCCATCAAGGCGGTCAACACAGCATTCGGTGCAGGCACAGTGCCGCCAGCTCTCAAAGCCATATTCGATGATGAAGCCTGCGAGCTTCTGACCAAGAAGGTACCTTTCGTCCTAGATATTTGTAGGAAGGTAACTGATTATCGTTCTACACACAGAGCAACGTCTTCTGGATCATGGCCAAGGCGCTGAAGAGCTTTCTAATACACGATAATAACGGACATCTGCCCTTGCCTGGCGTCCTGCCCGACATGACGGCCAACACGGACTCGTACATTGCCCTGCAGAACATCTACCGCCAGCAGGCGCTGCAGGATGCCGATCAGGTGTACCACAAGTGCCAGGACTACCTCAAGCAGCTGTCTCTGCCCCCAGACACAATTGACGAGCGAAGCGTGAAGTTGTTTTGCCGTGAGGCTGCCGGTCTGGCGGTTATGCGTGGTACATGCATTGCCGAAGAGTACGAGCGAAACAGTCGCCTGTTGCCATTGAGTGAGTTCTCAGTCTGAATAATGCTTGAGTCTGATTCATTCTTTGTTCTTTAAGTGGAGGAAAATGAGGTCCAGGACAATCTTACGGCCTACAACTTTGCCCTGCGCGCCTATGAGCGTTTCCTCAGCGAATGCGGCCACATTCCCGGCGAGTGCACTGCCGAACAGGACATTGGACGCCTCAAGACAATCGCTGGCAAAATGCTAAGCGATTTGGGCACGCATGCGACCATCAGCGATGATGTACTGCACGAGATCTGTCGCTACGGCGGCGCCGAGCTGCATGCCGTCTCCGCTTTCATTGGTGAGGCAGCAGAGTACACAGCTCCGTAGAAGACCCCAGCTAACGTTTTACATCTCTGTTTGCAGGTGGCTGTGCTGCCCAGGAGGTCATCAAGATTGTTACCAAACAATACAGGCCCATTGATAATACTTTTATTTACAATGCTGTAAGCACCGAAAGTGTCACGTTGAAGTTGTAATAAAATCTGTGGCTCAGAACTTTATTTCGTGTACTTGAGATGCTTGACGGCTGCTGCTACCCTGTATTTTTGGGCATAGAAGCGGCCAAAGAGGTAGAGAAACGTTAGCATGTAGGCGACGCCGGTGAGACTAACCCAGGTGTGGTATTCGCATCTCTGGATGATGGCCTGCGAACCCCAGGCCAGGCCAATGGCAAACTGCAACAGCTGCAGGGCGGTCAAGTGGCGCTTCCACCACAGATACGGCTGAATGCGGGGCCCCAGCACACTCAGCGCGTAATAGCCGTACATAATGATGTGCACGAAGGAGTTCATCATGGCTGGCAGAAAGGCTGTGGGAAGGACGAGGCGATACAGACAGCGCGGGTATGAGGTTATGTGGTGAGACTCACTCGAGCCGGTCGGTATCCACTTGACAACGATCCAGCACATGGCAAACATGGTGCTATGGTGGTAGACATGCAGGAAGCTCAACTGTGACCACTTCTGGCGCAGGATGAAAAAGGCCGTGTCGGCAAATTCAAGTATTTTCGAGATGTAGAACCACCAAAAGGCCGCGGCAATCTGCATTTCACAAAGGATTCATTCAATTTGATTCCCCGTTCTGCGGGTCAAAGACCCAAGACCCAAGACCCAACCCAACCCAACTCAACTTTGAAACTCACAAAAACTTACACGCATTTCATGGGGGCTATGGCTCACCCGACACGGCTGACAGCTGATGCTATAGTTGAGGGCACGCGACGCCGTAAAAAGCTCCAGGCATATGTGGGCATTCAGCAGGGCCATGGCCAGGTTGTGGCAGAACAATGGGCCACGCAGCTGCAACGGTTTGTACCTGTGTTCAAGCTGTCATGAGGCATTGTACGTCGCATAAGGATGGCCGCCAAAGGAATGGGGCCGTGGCCGTTGCCGTTGCCTCACCTGGCCATCCATTTGGGTGCATAGCGCACCATCAGCAAATACAAGGCCAGCAGGATAGCTGCATTCCAAGGCGACTCCACCAGCGGCCACGTCCGTGTGCGCTCATCCGCCAGCTCCGCAAATGGATACGGATAGCTGCCAATGCCGGGGAAACCAATTTTCGTGCTGCCATTGAACGACATCGTTGGACGTTGAACGTTGAACGTTGGCTTTAAAGCGAATTCTTGGCCAAAACTGAATGCGTACCAGCAGCGACATACGTCTTTTATATGGCTCAATGTTGACCCTGACTGCTGATGCGTTTACATATTCGATTGCCACGCTGCGACGTCTAATTAGATCCGAGCCCTGCACTGAAGCGTAAAAGTTCAGGTGTGGTCTCTCTGGGGTTTTGCCACAAACCTCTGATGTCTGATAACTCTTTCACTTTACAGTCAAAGGGCGGAGCATAATCTCGGCATTGAATGGCATTTCAAATGCAGTCTACAGTCCATTGTTGTCCATTTTCCGTTTTATATATTGCACACGTGAATCGAACTCCTCCCATTGGGCATCTTGATTAAGGAGATGCATTTACTTGCCACTTGCCTCTTAATCAACGAAGCGTTAAATATGCTCGTACTTACTCCTCCTATATTCGTATCTTTTGTGGCGTCCCATCATCAATATTGATAAGTGCAATGGCAGCAGCTGCAGCAGCAACAATTGCGGCAGCACAATAAAGAGTGCAACGTGAGCAGCGCTCGGTGATGGGTGGCAGGTGTGGGCGAAGTGGGCGTGGAAAATGGGTATACTGAAAGCTAAAAACGAAAAACAAACATTTCCCCAAGACGTTCCAAGAGCTTGTAGCAGTTTGCCAAGAAAATACTCTTATCCTGGGAGCGGTAAATATCTGGATTTTCACTCTTGGATTTTGATATTCGAATGAGCATAACGGACAGGCAAACGGACAGGTCTGGATGGGATTTTAATTGTGCATTGAGCAACGAATTTTGGTTAAATTCTAAGGTGACTTTGATTGTGTTCTGTGGCACGGAAGCCCACAAAGATATTCCCCCAATACATAGTTACGCTGTATTTGAATATATGTGATATAAACCAGCTAACAATTAGGAATATTTTTCCCCTACCCATCTCGCGAAGGGTATTTACTATTCTTTTAGCTAAATATTTCTCCTGACAGTCTCCAGTTTCCGCAGCTGTATGCCCTTAGCGCTCGCTGGCTCGCTGGCCCGCTCGTTGCTGTTTGCGCTTTTCTCTGCTGGCTTTTGGCCCTTTGGCTCTTCATGTCTCTGGCTTCGAGTCCATTTTCTATTATTGTTTTCTTTATTTGTATTACTGTACGTGTTTGCACCTCTGGCACTTTGTGCCGAGTGTTCGTGCTTCCTTTTGCTCTTGCTCTTCCTTTGCCGCTGTTGCTGTTTCCATTTTGGGTTTGCCAATGCCAGCCGAGCAGCTGCGTCCAAAGGGTTCTCTACAGAGTGCCATTGAATGATGTTTGGGGGGGTTATTACATACATATATTGTGTGCCTTGTTTTTTGGTACTCGTAAAAGGCAATTGTATCGCATTTTGACCGCAGCGGCCGCACTTGTACCCCATATTATGGGCTCAATCATGCGGGTTAGATGTGGATTGAAAGTGCGCTCCCCCTGCCTTGAATCAAGAGTCAATTTTCATTAAAATAATGTCAAAATGTCTCGCCTCGAAACTGGGGGCTTCGGGGCCTGCCACATGCCATGTCATGCCTTTTCTGCGGCTTACCGCATAGCTTTGCTTCCCATCCGGAAGTTGCACATATGCCATCATGTCCTGCGGCCACGCATGTCCTGTGCCCCGTCTAGCCTCCCCTCTCACCCACATACATATATCCGTTCCCTGGGCCTGTGCGTGCTTACGTATGCGTATAATTGAGTTAGTTTGATTGTTATAATCAGCACCAAACCCCCGCCCACCCTCCATCATCGCACACTCCACTCAATGTTCTAGGGATGGGTACTTCCGGCCATATACATACTTACATATGTTGCCAGGCAGTTGCCATGGTGCCTCAAAGGGGCAAGCACATGGCTTCAGTTATTAATTATATTATTATTGTATGCTAGGAATCAAAGTCAATGCTCTACATATAGATAGCTAATCCTCTGTAATCGCATTGTCGCCGCTACATCCTGTTCACCTCTAGCTATGCCATTTCGATGGTCTTTTCAACAGCTGCACACAAAGTTTTCTCATTGGGCAGCATCGGCAAACACATTTGACGGATAGATGTCCATCCTGTTGCCCGCTCCCCCACCCAGAGGCACGTGGAAATACTCGTACCTATGCTGTATATATGTATAAATGTTCGCGTTGATCCATTGGACCGTTCACAGGGCATTGAATAATTTATTTCTGTGGCCAACATGGCTGCGGTGGAGGGCAGGGCACACCGTATGTGGGTTTGCCAGAGGTCAAAGGTGTTTGAGCTCCACCTGCACCTATATATGGGGCTGGCTACTACCCCTAACTTACCCCTTTAATCGTGGAGTGCGAGTGGGACTGGTATAGCTGCTCGAATATGTCGCAGCGCGTTGACATTGTTGAAGCCCCGTGGACTCCGCGTGAGTTATTAAATAGATTACAGTTTTGTGCCGCACAACTTCATGCACATTCCGCTGGACAGTTGTTAGGAGTGCTCTGCTCCCTCCAATGGCACTCATGTTCCTCCTGTTCCATTGTCCGCTGCAGTCGCTCCGATGATGAATTTCCGTCACTCTGTTTCAGTTTTTGTCAGCTTTTGACCCCTTCGGACATAGATGGGGATATGTCAGCGGTCGGTGGAGCGATCCAAAGGGGGTTAAAGTGCAAAAGCTATATGTATGTATGTATGCATAAGCGAGTGTATTGAAACGCGAGATTGATTAGAATTCTATTGAACCGCTGAGCTCTTGCTGAAGGTGCCTTTCTATTTTAGGGAATTTATTCCCTTTTATTCTCCACATTTTCCAGATCAAGCAGCCATAAATACACTCACAAACAAGCGGACAATAGTCCCACAATAATACAAAAATATATCCGCATCATCGTTGCTGGTGCACCGCACAAAATCGACCTTCAGTGGACGACCCTGCTCGGACGGACACTGGTTTCTGGCATCATTATACGTACGGAGTATCAATGTGCGGACATTGACAGCGGCGAGCAATTGCTGTCAGTGACAAAAGAGGCAAAATATCATGAAGCAAGTCAAGCTGCCATTGCAGGTCGGTACTTTCCCTTTGTTATGCTGTATTCTGGCGGGTGGAGAGGGGGTTTATTGAATGGGGGAATATGCCACTGACCCCCTTGGACCTGCTAGCTTATGGCTCGCCATCCAAGCATTTCCCTGTCACCATTGCCATTGCCATTGCCATCTCGTATCGATGGCCATCCACTGTCAACTCGAATCGCTTTCCGTGTTTACTCGCATTTCCGTGCACCGTTTCCGGCTCAATGGGAATGTGGCAAGCTCTTCTTCTCTGGGCGAGTGTTCATCGAGTCGGGTGCGAAGAGGGGGAATGATTGTGGAAACACCTTAAGGGGTGGCGAACATTTCTGAATCAAATTTTGATTAGGCTTCATTTATTTGTATTTTAATTGGGCTAAACAACAAAGCGAATTATCATTATTTGAGTACTTTTCCTCACGTACTTGTTGCAGTCTGTACTTGCACTCTGCCCATAAACTGTAGCTCCCTTGGCCTTGGCAGAGTCATTTTTCTTGGCTCTCCCCATTGCTGTTTGTCACTCGTTCTCGTTCTCTGTCTCTATCTCTATCTCTGTGCCAGGTGCAACTAGAGTGTGCAACATATTTTATTTGTGTTGCCGCTGGTTGAGTTGTTTCCGCCAGTCCTTCCCCCTGGCCTTTCTATCGCCCATACGCCACGTTGTCACATCGCCTTGATACGCGTTATTTACAATACATTTGTCATGGCTTCGACGTGGTTGCATCTGTTGTGAGGAGCTGCACACAGCAGGACAAGTGCAGGAGGAGCCGGAGGAGTATCCCAAGCGAGTGAAACTAATGGTTAACCACTTTGGCTTCATTCTCTGGCACTCAATTTGGTAGCGGATGGTTCGATGGGTTGCAGGGAGACGCCTTCAGTCTCTACACTCGGACGGATTTATTTGCAAGAGAAAATACCAGAGGAAAACTCGAACAAGATACTCCAGAATGAAACTTGGACTTCGCCTTGGACTTCATTGCATAAACTAATTGATTAAATGGACTGCATATACATTAATTCACTTCTAAACCGAGCAATGAAAAGATACAAGTTACCCGAAGATATCTGCACCCCAGCCATAAATATTTAAACAATAAACTGCGACTATTTGTTTACTCTCTCACCCCTTAGAACATGCGGAAAGGCAAGCCAAAAACTAAACCTGTTTATAGTCTAGCTAAGCAAATGCGTTCCCATTACTCCAAGTCTAACAAGTTTAGTACCTCACAGCCACAGGAACCTTGGAAAGAACTTATATACATGCCACAGCCAGCCAGCCAGCCTGCTGCTTATCGTCAGTCTCCTCGCTTTGTGGCTGCTGCTTTTGCTCTCTAATAAATTAATTAAATTGAGCTAAGAAAATTCACAAACGCTTGCTGGCAGAGAAAGTTGTTCAACATTTTGCACGATTTTTAATTGCATTTTAATGACTTTATTCCGCTGAAATATGCCCACACACAGGGAGAGAGAGAGAGCTATTAAGCTGATTACTCCATAGCCATTGACACCTTGAGGCTCTAATTAAAGTGCGGCACTGGCCAAAAGGTTTCCTCTGCCTCATAACTGGCAGCCTGAAACAAGAAACGAAATAAGCTGAGAGCGGTAAGCCAGCGAGGACAAAAAAGGAGCCTCAACTTAATATTGTAGAGCTCTGGCTGTCTGTCAAACGGGGGGGAGAGTCGCTGCGGAGAGTGAGAGACTCGAAATAGAACTAGAACATGGCCGTGTGGCATGTGGCACCAGTGGCACTGGCACTGCCACTGGCACTGGTACCATTGGCATGAACAAAAAGTAAGTCTGGCAATTGGCAGTTTCACAAAATAACTTTGTTGCCGCTGCCAGTGGTCCCAAAATAGCCGACACAGCATATATAACTAATACTCTCAGTTGGCAGCTGACCACAGAGCCAACCGGCCAACCGGCCAACCAGCCAACC